TACAGCACTAGTTGTCTTGCTTGCTAATTTGTCGCGGAGGTGCCAAACAACAAGATTCGCGCCATGGCTAGCGCGCTCGAGACTGGCGACGCAGCCCGGCTTCCTACGCGGTCGGTTCCTACGTGGTCGGGGCCCGACTTCCTGCGCGGTCGGGCCCGACCTTAGGCACGAAGTCTAGAGATTGCTTCGTCAACATCATCAGCATTCCCCGCGTGAAATCAAGCCGGCATTTATAAGACAAAAACATATACTAGCGCACAATCTTAGTACTTTTTTGCGATTTGCATAGATTCGGGGCGACGTATGTTGAAGAACATCGTGTACAACTAGCGCAAGAAGTTAGTGATACAGTGGTTGCAGAAACGTAAAACATTATACTAGTCTTATTGGTTGCTGACTTGTCGCGGAAGTGCAAAAGAGCAAGATTCGTGCTCGTTACATGGCTAGCGCGGTCGAGACCCTGGCGGCGCGGTCGGGACCCGAAATCCGCCGCATTCGGGGCCCGACTTCCGCTGCACTTGTGGCCCGAGTGTAAGTCGCGCTTGCGTGCAGTAATCTAGAGATTGCATCCCCAACCTCGTCATCATTGCCAGCAACGAAGTCCAGTCGAAGTAAGACAGCTAACGTGCTAACTTAGCCCCGGAACCCCACAACTGTTTTGTGCATGCGTCCTTTGTGCCTCGCTTGTTTTTGCACAAGGGTCTTCCTCGTGCTCTGATGATTGCGCGCCCCGAGTGCATAGAGCAAGCAATGGCCACTTGATCAAGTGACCAGTGCCGTGTTCAGCACCCTCTTGTGTTGGAAGTAAAGAATCCACCTCTGAGACGTGACTTTACAGGCGCAGCTATTTCCCTCTTGCACAAGGTTGTCAATTCTAGTCACCCAGTTATTGAAAGGCATACACGTGGTACGTGCTGAATCATCACCCTTTCTTCACCTCATGAACCAATCTGTGTCAGGTTAAACGGGTGCTGGGCAGACAACTTGTAGCCCATCGGCCATGCGCATTCTCATACCATCGTGCCAGTGGAAGGTTCTTCGTGCCGCTCGTTCTCCGGCAATCAGCGGTTGCGAGAGACCATACAAATCAGGGTGGTCCCACTTTCGCCAAAGAAATGTCGTTTGCGGGGATCCCTACGACTACCGTGTTCGCAATGAAACTTTCCTGCTGGTGTTGGAGGGCTGTCGGAGATGTTGCTATTCAAGGCCCTTGAGGACTGTTTTAAACACCCCAAGGACAGCTGGGCCAGCCAGAGAAGCAACTTTCCCACCACCCATGTGGCACTGTGGCCAAAAAGCCGGCAGCACACTCCCGGATGAGTTCGTCTACAGGAACATAACCCAAAAATGGCGGCGCCTTCCCCCCCCCTCCCCCCAAACCCGGGGGGAACCCGGGCTCCTGGAGGTCTGGCTCTGGTGGCACCCTGGCGAATGCTTGAGAACACGGGCTTCTGAAACTTCGGGACCCTGGTGGCAACGGCTTCCCGTTGGTTTCCCCGTACCATCTAAAAAGGGATCCCTAAGTTGAGAAACACCCATACCCTCCCACCAGCTAACATGGAAGTGCACAGACCCCTGTAGAAAGACTACTTTCCTCTTGGAAAGGGCCTTGTTGCACTTCCATGCTAGTTGGTGGGAGGGTAGGTGAACATGAAATTAACGTTGGAACCACTCCTGAATGATGTCCACGAAAGGGGTCGCCCAATTTTTTGAGCGTCGCCCTTTTCCGGGTTGATTTAAAGTGCAGAGGGAAACGACCAATTGGATGGGATAAGGACCCCAGCTTTTGGAGACAAACCCATTGGGTCGTGGGTAACAGGCCGGAGCCTGTCTGTCTCTTCCCACGATTCTTGGATGACACAAGTGGGTTGCTGCAGTTCATAGGCCATTGAAGTGACATCCACAACAATAAACTCTAAATGTCGGCTTCAATGAAAACTACCCTCAAAGGCACAATAGTAATAAGGGAGATATAGGGATATCATGTTGAATTCTCACACTCCAGGTGCGCGTAATATGTTCCTGAATGATTGGATCTGCACAAGACCATCCCTTCTGAAAGGAGCCTTGATCATGGGTGAGGTCTCCTTGCAAGGTCATGATGTGCCCATTGGATCCTCCAGTCGATTCAGCAGAGCGACCCCACATCCGGGTCAATCATTACACAGGGACGCTCGACGGCTATCCACCTGCCCCCAATTGGACATCACCGTGCAGAAAATACTGAACCCGATCCCTTCAATATGACATGTTCTAGAGCCACAAGGGGTACACACAGCAAACCTTGCGACTCCTCTTTCACCATCATGCCTAAACCATGTGTGTTGTCGTCTGAGTCGACCAAACTGGGAATGAAACACTTAAATACCTCCCAATCCGTTGTCCCTTGTCAAACTGAACCGACCAAACAGGGTGATGCTCTCATCTGCCGCCTTTGCTTCAGTTCACTGGAAAAGAACTCCTGCCCACAGGTTGCTTGCGTCTGAAGCGCGCGAGGACTCTGAGAGGGTAAAGAGGAGAAGTTTAACTGCGAAGGTTGAGCCCAGTGTTGGGAGCAAACGTATTCCGAGATATCGGCAAACTGGGTCAGAGTCATGCCCTTCAAATTTGACACCGCAAAAACACATATTGACTGTTGGTTTTACCAATAGGTTGAGGACGTCATGAGCTCATATGACTCATACCTCTTAGGTCAAGGGTCAAAAGGGTCAACGAGGCTCAAAAAGGTCGGGTCAAGGCACTCACATCATATGCTCAACCCCCCCATCCATCCGCCCAAGCCCGGCCTCAGCACTTTGCAAACTGGCCGCTGCCAGCTTTTGGTCCACGCTTCCTAGCCACTCCCAAGGCCCCGCTCCCTCTCAAACGGGGCCTACCTCTTCTCTTGACCACTCCACACTTGGAGATCTGTTGGTTTCCGCTATGTTGGCACCCCATTGAGGTTTTGGATACCTCCAAATACTTGGGCTGTTAAGAGGTTCTAGGTTGAACTCTGGTTCACTTGGAGATCTTTTCGTTTCCCCTCAAAACCAGAAGCGCTGCGGAAAGATCCATATTGAATGACACACCTGTGGGAAATTGGTCATGTTGCGGTTCCCAATATGAACAAGCCCCCGGGATCCAACATGGCTTTCTATGGGCATGCGTACATTGTCGGACTTTGGCGAACCACTTTTGAGGATCTTACCACAAAATCTAAACCTCTATGCCACCAAAACTGTCCTCCCAAAAAGTATGTGAACTCAGAGAGGACCATTTTAACATATTTTTTGGGAGGGAAAAACATATATATATATATAACAACAACAAAACAAAAAACATGTCCTCCAAAATATAAAGTCCGCGAACTCAGGGAAATAGGCGCGTACCCCTAGTTTGCGTTGCCTTCTTGGATGACTGGCGAACCAACGAAGCTTGTACCTCTTTGCTGAGATTCAACCAAGAAACAACGGCGGTACAAACGGGTGAGGTCGAAATGTATGGACAAATATGTATAGATATGTATAGATATGTATAGATATGCATGTATGTATGTATGTATGTATGTATGTATGTATGTATGTATGTATGTATGTATGTATGTATGTATGTATGTATGTATGCATGCATGCATGCATGCATGCATACTACACACATTTGTCAATCTTGTGTTCTCCAACTTCAGTCAATAGTAAAATGCGAAATATGTCCCCTTGCCCAACCCTAGCAAAAGGGGGCTGGCCCCCTGCGGTTGCTTGGCTTAGGGCAACTCCCCCCCCCAGACAAACAAAAAAAGGAAAAGAAAAACACACACGCGCAGGTTTAGCTTTGACTTGACCTAGAGCCGGTCGTCACTTGTGCAGTTGCTGGTTGCAGCATGTGGGCTGCCCTGTTGCCTATACCAATAAACCTGAGAACAAAAGCCTCGTTGAGAAGCGGGTGCAAGGCGAAAACACAAAGCTAGCAACAGTGACTTCATCACTCGGCTCAAAAGCCTGGATTCTGCGGAATCGTGCAGTGATAGCACATTGGGAAATTCTTGCCATCCAACTGGTTTCCGGAACGACCATCCGAAAAGCAGACAGTTCCGGAACACGAGCCCCAAGTCGTGCGCGCCTTCAGCACTTCCTGAAGGGCGATCGCCTGGAGCCGCATCGATCGAGGTTCGATCACGAACCACCCGGCGCTTGCGGTTACCATCATCACAGGTACGCAAGGAAACATTTTCTTTTGCTTCACCGCCGTTTGGACTCTGAAAACCCAGTCACACGGTTTTACGCCTTGCACCGTAGGCCCAGCTGACGAGAGGCAGCGAAGAATGAGCTATCGATCTGAGGTCAGTAGAGAGCACGAAGCCTTGAAAACGCACTGAAAACTTACAGGCCATTGGAAACAACACGAGAAACCCGCAAGTTGGTTGAAGTGAACATGGCCCTGCAAACTGCCATATGCATCTCCACAGATTGTGCTGGAGCTGTTTTTTGAAATCGGATCCCGGAAAATTAACGATCTCTGGAGGGCATTCCAAAGGCACATCCCCCGGGGCACCTGTATGCAGGATGGTGGAAATGAGCGAACTACACACACCGAGTTCAACTGCACCAGAAGCATTGCTTCTCATTTGAAGGTCATTCATCATTGGCTGGCTCGTCCCCGTCAGCTCCGCTTTGCAGCATGGTCACAAGCAGCAATGTGATTGGGAGTTATTCTGGAGTTGGCGGCCTTGTCATGTTGCGAAGAAGCGCACAATTTCATGTTCGTGACAAGACCCCTCAGCGCGTTGCACAGGAGTCTTTCCAAAAAGATCGGTCGCATTCTTGTCAGCGCCGGCCCGCATCAAGCATCAAGCATCAAGCATTGGAACCCTGGTAAGTGGAAACATGGACCAAAACCTGCGGTTTGCCCCTGCTGTTTAATTTTGAGCCACACCCACCTCACAACTCCTGCAACATCCCCAGGGTCTGCCGGCAACAGCGCTGCGGCGCCATCTCTATCTGCCAAATAAGGCCGAATCACAACCGTTAGCTCTGCATTGATCCATGGGCTGTCTGCTGAAAGAATCTCATCACCGAGACCAGCGCCAGCTGCCTGAAATTCTTCAACTGCAGCTTTGTGGCCAAATGGCGCCTGAGCACATCAACGAATGCCTCACCATGCAGGTGGTGCTCACTCCACCATGCAGCGAACTCATCCTCGCTCATCACATCCTCCCCGGTGACCTTGTGAACGTGCCCCATCACTGGGCGCGAGCCATCCACAAAACGCACAAGACCGGATCCCTGTGAGCCGAAGCTGTCGCATCCCTGGCAGACCAGAGCCACTTCGCAACGACAAACACCCCATCTTTTGGACAAACAGCGACATAGAAGGGTACTCATCATCCGAGAGGCGCATCATGCAGTGCGAAAGCGGAGGCTTTTGCAGAAAGCAAGGGAAGCCCCGGAATCACGCAGTTCTGATCCAGGAGCAGCAAAAGAACCAGAATGCCATAATGCGAAAAACATCACCCTGCTGATGGAAACACTGCAAACGAGGGAGCAAACAAGAGGCATTCCAAGTACTGTAGGTTCAAGCCTTCAGCTAGATCTTGGAGAGCGGAACGTGATTGACGTAGAGTGTCAACTGAAGATTCCGCGCTGGCAACTGGGAAAGAGTTGGATTGCAAGAAGCGAGCTTCCTAAGTAGAACCGAAACACTCATGCTTCTGAAAGCTCACAATACTTTGGCCAGAGCTGCAAACTGACTATTAGGTCTCTCTCTGAGAAGCTGAGGGCGCTTCAATCTCGAACAGGCAATGTGTTCTGACAAAAAAGAGAAGCAACATTGCCGCAAGCGAAAACATGGCGCAATGGACAAAAGCGCAGAAGCCCATTTTGACATTGCCATCCAGCCCCGAGCCAAGACCTCGACGGTGTTCAAACTTTCCAGCTCTTTCTTGACCTCGCGGCCCAGCAAACGCAGCTTTGCAGGCGGTTTCCCTTGGGAAGGCGCTGATCGATTCAACGAGCTTTACATGGGCTCGTCCCTTTCCAGGCGCATCCACAACCTCACAACATCTTGATCTTCCTCGGGAGCACATTGCATGGGAGTCCTTCCTAAATGATCGGTCTTTTCCTTGTCAGCGCCGGCTTTGTATAAGCGATACGCAATCCTCGTATCAGCACCGTAGGCGGCCCAATGCAGGGCTGTCCATCCTTCACCGTCAGCCTTGTCCACGTCAGCACCAGCTGCCAACAAACACACCAGGACTGCCTCGTGGCCTTGCGCAGAAGCTCTTTGAAGGGGTGTCACCATAAAATTGTCATCTGCGTCTGGGCCAACTGCTTCGGTGTCTGGGTCCAGGGGCCTTTCCAGCAACCTCACAACTCCTGCAACATCCCCACTATCTGCCGCCAGCACCAGCGCCTTGGCTCCATCTCCATCTGCCAAATAAGGCCGAATCACAAACATTAGCTCAGCATCAATCCATGGGCTGTCTGGTGAAAGCATCTCATCACCGCAGACCAGCGCCAGCTGCCTGAAATTCTTCAACTGCAGCTTTGTGGCCAAATGGCGCCTGAGCACATCAACGAATGCCTCACTCTGCAGGTGGTGCTCACTCCACCATGCAGCGAACTCATCCTCGCTCATCACATCCTCCCCGGTGACCTTGTGAACGCGCCCCATCACTGGGCGCGCGCCATCCACAAAACGAAGACCGGATCCCTGTGAGCCGAGGCGGGCACGTGCACAGTGGGCATGTGAGAGCTGTACCCATAAACAGCCGCACCCCCCGGCACCCCCCCCATTCTTGAACATATATGCTAGAGAGCGGTAGTCGAGGCAAAACAAGTGAGTTCATGCGGGAAACAAGGGAAGCCGCGGAAGCCCCGGAATCACACAGTTTTTGTCTTAGAGAAACCCGAAGACCGGATATCCCGAAGACTTCTTGGAAAACTGGGGTGCTCCAACAGTAGAGGGTGCACTCTCTCTTTGCGGGCGTATATGATGCCACGGGCATCCCATCAAACAAAATCCCATTTGCAACAAAGCAATTGCTGGGATCTGTCCTGGGGATGCATGCAGCCTTGGCGCTTTCCATAAGTGCATGCCTGGACTCATGCTGCTCATTCTGCACAGCACCATAACAACTGGTAAGCGGAATCCCCAAAAAATTGCGAGCCATCATGAGTGGGAGTGCTCCTTCTGCCGTGAACCGGAAAACCAAATGTGCGGAAACCAAAATGGGCATGTCAACCTCAGCATCCTCTTTGAATTTGTTCCTGAATGCAACGCAAACTATCCCCCAAAGCAGTATTGGTTCTGACTCCCTACCCAACTACCCAAACACTTGGCACATCACTCTGAGGCTGCACATCCCTCTGCTTACATTCCCGCCTCTGTCTCTTGGTCCCCGAAGGAGAGCACGTGCACCCTTGCCTGACGTCTGATACACGACGCCAAGCAATGAGATGCCAACCTGTTCGGACGTGGCGCAAAGTCCCCATTCAGAAGTCCTTGAGCCTTTGCCCCATTCAAGCTCGCAGAACAAACCAGATGCAAAACAGATGCAAAACGACCCCGCGACAGCGGCATCTGTTCCTTCCCAACTCAAAGAGAATCCTTGAGGGAGCTTCCCCATTCGGCTCGCACGCGTGAGCTCGTGCTAATTCCAAGGAGTCTCAATGTGAGGCATTAACACCTATGCATCCTTCCAGGGATTCTTAGGCGGTGCCTAAGAGGATTTCGTCCATGCACAGTTCTAAGGCCTTGGGACACCCAAGCTACGTTTGAACACAACCGGATGCCAGGTCCACCTTCGCGCACTAAAGTGTCCGTCTCGCGCCTTGACACTGTCCCCATAGTGCCTGGCGCGCTGGTCGGCGAGGGCAACACTTTTGGGGGTCCCGGTGGGGGTCTAAGGCAAAGCGGGGGAATGACATCAAACCCCAAATCATAACAAAATAACAATTAAAAAAAGACAAACTAATAAGAACACCAAAAACATGTAGAGGAATCCCTCTTTGTACTTAGGCCCTTCTTCAAGGCGGCGAGCTTCACGATGAATTGCGGCCTCATGGGTTGGCCCAAGCAACTCCTACTCAAATCTCCGTGATGCGGATGGCGTGCCAAACCCATCGACATTGTTTGGCTCTACATGCGCACAGGCCGCCTATCCCGGAGCCAGATCTGTGACTGGCGACAGTCACAGACTGATGGTAGGATGGCATAAGCCACGGAGAAAACATCGAAACAATCCCTCCGCAAATGGTGTTAGTCACCTCATATGACCATATGATACCATACTATGTAATAAGAGCATCCCACATATGTTCCAAATCTATGCAATTTAGCCTTGGGTTCGTCAGTTGACAATGGCTCAATCTCGGCAGTTGGAGATCGAGGAACAAGCAATTTCATGGGCCATCAGCCGCAAGGACAACTCTTCCTGCGAGCAGCTCCAGGCAACACATGATTCTGTGCTTTGAGGGTACTTTTTTCGCCTTGGTTTCAAAGGAAGCCTGAAGAACACAGACGCACGGACACACAGACGCACAGACACACAGACACGCAGACACAGATACAGATACACAGACAAAACACACAGACACAGACACAGACGCAAACACAGACACAGACACACGCGCACACACGCACACGCACACGCACACGCACACGCACACGCACACGCACACGCACACGCACACGCACACCCACCCACACCCACACACACACACACACATTTTGGAGGTCCAAAATTCCAATTTCAACACATAAACGGATTCAGGGCACAGAGCGACATGCAATGCACAGCTTCCTGTCATCAAGCTGCACACAAAACGATCCCATTCTGGCAGAAATTACGACGGATTTCACTGGGCAGTTTCCTTTTGCTCCGTAAGTCCCAACACGTACCAGGCTACCTTCTGAAGTGGCTGACACGTTTCGACGGAAGCTGTGATGCCACACAGGAGCCGAGCCACGTGCTAAAAGTTTGTTCTGACTTCGTCACAAGGCTGGAAGGGTAAGCACCAACAGGCAGGGCAGCCAGGGGAATTTATTGAGCGATCAAAGTGATTACCTGCGAGCCTCACTGGATAGAGGGAAACTGGGCAGGCCTCAGGTGCGCACGCCACATTTGGGGCAGTCGGAATGATGGGTTGTTCGATCTCGACCCATTGGGTTCCTCATATAACACGTGCAACGCTCAATATTAGCAGGTCGAGTATTTGAGCTTGTCGGGTATTCGTTTTGGCTAGACCCCTATCGGTTTCATGCGGGAATATTGCCGGGTATTCACAAGTATTTGTTGATGTGGAACTCTTTGGTGGACCAGGGCAGAGTTCAAATCGAGTCAAATGCAGAAATGATGTGCTCAAAGACCACAGGCGCTGATTGAACAGGTTTCAATGGCAGTTTCTCTCGGCTTCCAATGGTCGCATATGTCCCAGATTCAGTGCAACAGGGTTCCCTATTAATATCTCCCAGTAGAACATAATTTGTATATTTAAGTGGGCCAAAAGGTGATGTGAAACACCAACAAGGGACACATATGTGAACCCCCGACTCAGTTTCCGGCTCCCACCCCCCCAAGGCCCTTTTCCCCTGGCCTGTCCAGCACGGAGGACATCGCTGCCTGCGAAGCAACCCTGGAACAGTTCAATGCGTTGTGGCTGTTTTGCAACAATTCGCAGCTGCAAATGTTGGAATAGGGAATATGGCTGTGGGTCAAAACCAATGGTACCATTCTGGGGTAGGTGCACCACCCATTTTAGAACCTATTTTAGTGGGGATTGGGGGTACGGCATTTTGATTTTGACCCATGGCCATGTGCCTGGATATCACCCCAGAGACTCTCAGTATGATCTACAGCTTTTGAGGCATCCAAAGGGACCAGAGCAAAAAGCCAGCCCCACTTTCCTCTCCTTGGGTCTTTTTCGCATTTCGCGTGGCTCGCCACAAACGCACCTCCCGCGCTTGCAGGCTAACTGGTTTTATTCATGCTTGTCTTTTGAAATTCGGAAATAGAATGCGTGGAGGCAAAGTGCGCAAGAACCAACATCGTTGCTGGACAAGTTGACCCCGCACAAATCTCAAGCGAGTTGACCTGTTTGAGGTCGAATACTCACACACACACACACCACACACACACAACACCACACACACACACACACGCGAAGATTTTCGTTTGGGTGGCGAAAAAACAAGAAACCGAAGCCTAGGGAGTTCCGTATAGCATGTTGCTGCATGATTGTGGAACAAATCCTTTGTCTGACGCCGCAACTGGATTCCCATCACTATGACAATGTTGCCAGGGAACCCAAACCGAATTGGAAAAACCGACAAAACTGCCATCCCTGCCTTTCTGGGCTACAAGAAAGAAAATCCGCATGGCACGAAAAGCCCAGGTTTAAGAAGGACATACCATAGGACTCCAGCCTTTCTGGGTCTCAGTCCTGGGCCTTTTGGCTCAAAATTGGTGGGGGTGTGGGGGGTGTGGGTGTGTGGGTGTGTGGGTGTGTGGGTGTGTGGGTGTGTGGGGGTGGGATTCGGACCCCATGACTTGAAGTTGTCCTATCGCTCTAAACCCACCTGAAACAGGGTGCCGAGCCTTGGAAAGCAACAAGTAACCTATTTCGTGAGGCTGGATTCCTCCCAGCATCATGGGACCTGTTGCAAGTCTTGGGTTCAAGCCAGGAGCAACCTGCGAGGACGTGCGCGACATTTCTCTCATCTCCCCCCTAAAAGCGTGCATTCCCGGCAGAAATCCACTCCTGCAATTGTCTCAAAATAGGGCAACCCTGTCAGACTAGGTTGCGCAACCCGGAAATGGTCGCGGCTTCCTTGTGGTTTTCCCTTTCAAATCGAACATGGATCCTTACATTATACGCCTGAACATTGCCTTGTAAATGGTGGTTTCCTTTTATTTTGGTGGAAAAAGCCATGTTTCAAATGGGCAAAATGTATCTTTTAAGGAGCCCTGTCAAACAAAAAGGGGATTCCCCTCCAGCACCCAACGTCTGGTTCCTCGGGCCTTCTTGGCGTGGATGGCCTCCTGCGGCACAAAGGCCTGAGCCGACGGGTGCCTCGCTGGTGGTTTGCTGGTGCCAGGGGAGACTTCGAAGAAGTCCGCCAAATCCGACATGGACACCTTTCTGTTGGGGGGAAAAGAAAGCAGCTTGCGGGGCCAACCTATTTCGGGGTACAAACACCATCAAAGTTGGCTGCGGAATTGGATTTCCCCCCACGAGCCGTATGATCCCACAATAAGTAGTTTGGAGCAGCGTCAGTAGGGAGTGACACATGAGAAACCCGGATCCATCCAAATAGGTGCATTGGGAATCAAAAGATGCTCTCTTTTTTTGAGAAGTAGCCTTCTTAGCCGAAAAAGGGGGTCTGCAGCCCTTGAAACGTGAAGTGGACAAGTAGAAAGCTTGTAAGTTACAAGGCCGAAGGACTCGCACAAGTCCCATCGGAATCTCGAAACAAGAATCCCCAAATGCGGCTAGGATTTTCCGTTTCGCGGGCATATGATTGCCTTTGAAACTGAAAAGGTAGGCTTTCCCGTTGCGCTAGTATATGGTTGGACACGGCGAAAAACAAAAACTAGGTCCAGTAGAGAGGTTAGAATAACGGTACCAACTTTTTCTGTATAGTCGATTAGGGAAACCCTCCCCCAAAAAAAGAGGGGAGCAAGGGCACTACTGGGGGCCCTAGAAAAGGAAGGTCTACTCCCCCGCGCCTGAGTCTTGGCCGTGCGCACCTGCGCGTAGTTCCTGAGAGGAATTGCTGGGCAGGGAAGCCGCTGGATCCAAGCGATGGGTGAACTGGCTGAGAACACGCAAAGGAGGAACACCCGGGACGAAATACTTATCTCATGCGACCTAAAGCTCAGGGGCCAAATCCCCTTCGAGATGGGAAAGCTGGCGTCAATCCTATTGGCAACAGGCTGAGTGATTTTTCAATTTGGACGGAACGTTCTAACTACTGAGAACCCATTTTAGATTCACTGCAAACTTTGGCCAGTTGATGGCTTCACCTCGGACAGTTGCAAATTTGGCCACATAGTACGACTACTCTGCGCAACTCAACGGAATGCACATGGCCCAGTTGCAGGGGGGGGCACGTGGCGCTCGTTGGACCTCCCTGCAGCAACTCTGCAGGCAAAACTTCAAATATCTTCAAATTCGATTGAATTGGGGTTGTGGAGGTTCTGCAGCCCAGTGCAAACAACATCAGGGATCCCAACCTAATTGCATTGGGCCCCTTTTGCCCTTTCGACCAACTTCAACTGGGGTTCATGTTCACGCCAACTGCGGACTTGCGCATCCAAAGCGTTAAAATCATCCTGCTGGAGACATATTGATTGACGCACGCCCAAGCCAGCCAAAACGCCGCACGAAAACCACCAATTTCAGGCTCCCTTGAGCAACAAACCAACACCCCGCTCATTCTCGTTCTTTTCAAAAACTGGCTGCTTCCCCTGGGTGTTTGATGGTTTCCTGAAAAGAAGGATCCCTGGAAAGAAAGGGGAAGGTACCCCTAGACAAATCTTGAATCCCCCTCAGCCACCGATCCATCGTTTGCTGGGTGCAGGGCACGCGGATGTCGAGCTCCTTGAAGAGCTCTTGGAGGTCCAGGCTCCCGATTTTCAGAAACTTCGTGGTCTGCTCCTTGGAAATGATTGCCAAACATGCGCCCCCCCCCCCAACAATAACAAAAAGAAGAACAAACACCACACAATCAGAACCCTAGGGCGGGTCTCAAAGTGGCCGTGGGTCCAAAATGGGTGCCCAAAATGGAACCCTGGCAAATGGAACCAAGGACTAAAACCTGCGGTCCCCTGGTTCAATTTTCATCCATACCCAAAAGGGAGCTCCAAGTGCTTGGGACTTTGAACCCAACAGGGGATCCAATTGAAATCGTAGCCACAGGTCAAATGATATTGCGGGGTCCACGTGTAAAAATATGGTGCCCTATCATAAATCGGATTCGAACAGAAAGCCCAACATGGCAGGTTCCTTGGCTACTCATGCAAAACTCTTGAACGCTGATGCTTAACATCTCTGCAAGATGTGTCTTGGATCAATACGGCGGATCTAAGGCAACGCTGACATGTGTGTGTGTGTGCACATATATATATATATATATATATGTGTTGACATATTTTTGTATAAACAGCTGCATCATATAAAACAAAAATGCCGTCTTGTTCCTCAACTGTTGAAACTTGTGTCCTGACGCACTCATCTTGGCCTCGGGCCAACTCCTCCCGGCCCGACGGCCCGACTCGGCGCGGATGTTTTGAGGCCATGGCCAGCCATTGCTTGTTGGCCAAGGTGACCTCGTTCCGGGCCCACCAATCTTTGAGTGGAAAAGGGGCCACTTTGCCCCCATCTGACTGAATCGTCGGGTGTGGAGGTTAGCCCCCTATTTATCCAGGCACTGGACAACAACGCCGTAGGCCGTAGAAATTCGAGTGCATGCGACAAACAACTGGAGAGTCGCTCCCGCGCTTGCTTTCCTTGTATTGAGGCCCGCGAAATCGCCCGGCACACGAAAGTCTAGCACAACTTGCCCGGGAATGCTTTTCGGAGCAACCACCGTCAGAAAACCAGGAGAATCACCCTTGCACTGGCGGAAACTCACTGAGGCAAGTGGCACACAAATCCTAACCAAGACCGGGGGCATGGTCTCTGGAAAACGGAAGGAACAGAGGGTCCTTTTGGTTCACGAACCCAGGGCCTCACTGAGGTTCCGTTTGCTTGTTTTCGGGGGTGGGGCCCCTATGCATAGCTGCCACGAAATTGACGCCTTTGATGTGTTCTCGACTTCCAGTCCAGTAGCGAACCCAACGGAAGTTCATTCCGATTTACCAGTTTGGGTGACTGTTCCGATTTTGCCGCTTTTCATGTGTCGCTTGCTTGTAGTTGCTGTTTTTTTTGGGCAATTCTTGGTCTCTTTGTTTGTTTGTATCCCTTTGGTGGTACCGTTCACTTCGCATCAGTGAGTAAGACCAAGCCCATTCGAGTAATCTCGGCGTAGATCCTCCCTTAAGCTCTGATTGCTCTGCTGCTCAAGTGAGTCTCCATGGGGTTACCAAGGATTCCTCTGTGTCCCCTTCCGGGGTCACCCGGCAACAAGTCATGTTTAACGGTTCTTAACCGTCAAACAAGGGGGCACTTCGCGACAAGACCTTTTGAAGTTGATCAACCCACTGGTGGTTTGCAATGAAACTACAACTTTCAGGCGTACACCACGTACGTGGGGAAGATGGAGGAAGAAACTCCGCACCACGTGGCACTTCTCTGGGGAGCGAAAGCTCGCATCTTTTGCAGAGGGCAGCATGTTTTCTCAAAAAGTTGCCCTGGGTGTTAAGCAGGGGGTCTTGCAAATAGAACAGACTCATTCCCCTTCAGTGTCATCAAACACTCTGGTTCATTCATCATCACCTGGTTCAAGCGGAACCGGGCGCCCGGGCAATTTCCACGTACCCAAAACTCCGCGCGGCCCGCAGCACTTGCTCCACCCTGCCTGGCGCTTTCCATCGCTGTTTTTTTTTGGCGTTTTTGCTGATGTGCTGAGATCTATCACAAATCCTGGGAGCAAGGTGCGAATTTGGTGTTCAACCCCGGGCTGGTTGATGTCCCTCAAAGGGAAACCTTGACGTTGAAGTCTACCTCTCTCCCCAAAAGCGGAGCATAATGAGCATATTATATACTAATCATATCACATAATCGACCAATTGAAGTATCAACAAAGGCATGTACTGATTTTCCAGCTTCATGTGTTGTTGCACATCTGCGGGGTCCCTAATTGATTCGACCCATTGCAGCGACTTGCTGAATTTGTCGTAACCGTTGGCACACAAGCAATTTACATGAACCTAACATGTCACCTCTCGGGGGTTCTTTTTGCAAGGAGTTTTCGCGAGTGGCCATGCCCCTCCCAATCAGACCATGTTCGACCTCCCAAGTCCTTCTTAGCACCTGTCAGATTCAAAAGAAAGGCTCCTTTGGACAAAGTGCATGGCAGTCCTTGACCGTTATATTGCATTCAGATGAGCTGTCTAAGACATCACTTATAGTTCAATTAAGCAAGAGGCCAACAGCTACGCCAATCGAAACTGGATTTGTTGCAATCGCCTTCCTCGAAACATCTCCTTCCAGCTAATTTCTGTGGGGGCTGCAATTCTTGCAAACAAGAAGACCGAGACTCGCACCCTGGAAGCGCCACAAACGTCTTCAGCGGGTCACCCGCCTACATGCAACGCCAGCTTCAAGCTGTGCCCCGCCGCCGAATTCTCCACACTGCCTGAGGGCTGGTATTTGGGCCACACGCATCCGAGGCCCACAAAAAGAAAGCAAAGCGGTTGCCGGTTGAAAAGCAAAACTAAGGAGTCCCAAAAAGGCCAAAAGATGCCAAAAGATGCCAAAAGATGCCAAAAGATGCCCAAAAGTATAGAAAGGTGAGCTCAGGGCAATGGATTGTGGGTGCGGCCTTAGCTGACTTGTTTGTGGCTACTTGCAGGCGGCCTCTTGTGGCTCAAAACCAAACATGACCCCTACAAGCGGAGGGCGGAAGGAAATGCTGGGAAGGGGCCCTTGGAGTTTGGCGGCGACCGCGCTTTCTAGGGACGTGTGTCACAGATTGCCCTGTGAGAGCAAGGCCACCCACCGGCGAAGTTGCCAGCCGGGTGCGATCCCAAAGACCTCCCCTCAGTACATTGGCCCTCAAACCCACGCAGAAATTCGTTCACTAAGTAACTCTTGCTCAATCATTTTAATTCTCTCACACATTTGTTAGCTTTCGCTTGTTACTTGCCCCAACACAATGATTTGTGCCGCCTGTTAACGTGGCCAACAGACCAGTCGATGAATTTTAGACTACCAGTCCTGACCGTTGCTCTCGTGCCAGGGAAGCCACTGATGTTTCATCTGTGCACAGGAATCAAAGGCCTTTGCGGATAAATTCCATGCTTGAACCTCCCTGGCAAGCTCGCCATTGCACAAACAAACCCATGTGGCTACGTAATAAACAGGTTGGACCCTTTGAAGACATACTGTGTGGCAAGTGAGCCAACGATAAGAACAGCCATGTAAAGGGCTACTTTTGACACACCCAGACAAACACACAAACACATGCACACACACACACAACCACACACAGACACAGACAGACACAGACACAGACACAGACACAGATATAGACATAGATACAAACACAGACACAGACACAGACACAGACACAGACACGGACACGGACACAGACACAGACACAGACACAGACACAGACACAGACACAGACACAGACACAGACACAGACACAGACACAGACACAGACACAGACACAGACACAGACACAGACACAGACACAGACACAGACACAGACACAGACACAGACACAGACACAGACACAGACACAGACACAGACACAGACACAGACACAGACACAGACACAGACACAGACACAGACACAGACACAGACACAGACACAGACACAGACACAGACACAGACACAGACACAGACACAGACACAGACACAGACACAGACACAGACACACAGACACAGACACAGACACAGACACAGACACACACACACACACACACACACACACACACACACACACACACACACACACACACACACAGCAAGCACGCATACACATGCGCAAAGCGCGTGCTTAGACTCTCGGGGGGAGGGGTAAGCCAATCAGATTCGAGTGATGTCAAATCGGGGGTGGCACACATGTAGATTCCATCTCGAGTACTGTCGAGTGATGTCACCGGGGTGCACATCACCTAAGATTGCGCAGGGGCTACACAATCCGGCGTCCTGGATTGCATCACGCTTCTCCTCAAGTGTCTTCGTCGGCTTGAGTCCTGATGAGACGCGCCCCCTGCCGCAAGACGCCTGGAACTTGGTGCGCGCACGCACACAGAAACTCTGCTGATATTCGAGACGTGTTGTCGGATCGTGAGGTCCTGCAGGGCCAAGCGCAGATTGGGGCTCCACGCCCTCGAGGCGGTTTACACTGTTTACACCAGCGCTGCGTCAGTCGGCGCAACAGAAAAGAGTCATGAGCTGGTCTTGCACAAGGCTCGAGCGCCCAATAGAAAGTATGGCTTCAAGACGTGACCGATCTTCCCCCGCGGCCCAAAGTCCGACGCCGCACTGGCTGGTCAAATCTGACCCCTGTCGAAACCGAAGGCTCCTCTTTGAGGATTCAAAGGGGTCCTGCTGCTTGAAGGCATTCCCAGGACTGGAAAGGCATGATTGGCCCTTGCCTGGAACTGCGCATGCCTATCATCTTGGGGGAGTTCCCGCACGCTTCGAGCTAAGCTTCAGGAACACTTTCAGCATGGCTGCACCTGCTAGGCCATGAACTTCTGGTGGCCCTGGATCGACCCAAAACCAACACAGTCCGAGTCTTTGCTACCATAAAGGGCAAACCAAAAAACATGTTGCCAACACTTGACCCATGAATCCTTGGAACCAGGTCAGCACATGTCATGCACCTCTGGGCGTCCCCTGCGCATCCAGGAGGTGGGGCACAGCGTGTCATCCCAGTCGAAGATGAGACAAGGAGGCCGATCCTGGCCACAAGAGATGCGTCTCACCCGGCGAGCAAACCCCAGAGAGTCCCAGGAAACTTGTCGCGTGGATCAATCGACGCTGTCTACTTGGGAAAAATCCAAATAGTTGAGACCCGGGCACGACCATCCAATCCCAACCCAATTGCATAGTGGCCAGGAGAAGGACCCCACAAAAAGAGAAACCACATGCCAAGCAACCAGGCATTTCGAGTTCGGCACACCTCTTTAAAACCCACTGAGTCAAGGCGTGGGGCCAACCTTTTCAGCATTAGCCTGAGGCATGGTTTTGAAGTCTGTATGGTGCAAGAAGGTTTCATGCAATGCACGGAATGTCGACATGGGTCCAAAGTATGGAGCCACCATGAGCCAACCATTTCGAGGCGTGCTTAGTGTCGACGCCTGCCAAAATTCCTTCGTTGACGCCACATGTTTCGGGCACTGCAAACACGCTGAAGAAAGAAGCCCCATCAGCCTCATGGGTGAGCTCCGACTGCGGGTGTCCCGAGCCAAAATCAACATTGAATCTGCGCCACGTATTGTGGATAGGCAGAATCCACAGGAAGGTAGGCGGTTTGTCCCATTTTCAAGGGCCTTCCCCTTCCCAACTGGCGCATAAGTTGGTCCAACCACAGTATCAGAACTCCAAAACCTCCAAAATGACCCCCGCTTGAACATCTTTGGCCATGGTTGTGCTCTTTTGCCTCCCAAGAAATCATGTGGCCGCCCATGCAATTTGAAGGTCTCGACAGGTACATTGCAACAACGTTGGCATTCACTAAATCTGCCCCTAGTCCTGTCTTGCCCTCTTCAGCGCATAGCCACGCCACGCTGGATCGGTAGCGGGTCATATCGTCGAGGTACACGTTGATCTTCTTGGAAATGTGGTCAATGAGCGGCGCATAACAGTCGGTTGCTGCAATCCTCTGATAGACAAACTTGGGTCGATCATCCAACTTCCATGCAGCAAGTCTTTCCGGTCTCGTCGCGCTTGGTGAAATCGGAAGCATCTTCCCTCGCCAGCTTTGGATGCACGTCTGAAACTGCTCTTAGACAATTGACGAACGCTCAACGCAAACCAAAGCAATCAAGGGACCGGGTCCTGGGACAGATTCTTTCACTGACCCCCCAGCACCATGAGCGTTTGTCAAAATAGGGGGAACGCCAAACAAAATATTGTTTCATGTTGGCGTCCTTTGAATCCACTAAAAGACGGTCCACCTTTCTGAGAAAGCCCCAAGTCTTCTGCAAGAAAGCGAATCATCATATTTGGGTGAGGGTGCCCTGGTTTTCCAGGAGAGGGGGTGTCGGAGGCTCAAGACACGGATATCCAATTGGAGTTCTAAAAGTGGTGTGGACCCCAAACTCATGGCCCTCCCTCAATTTTCCCTTCAAACGCCGCCCAAGATTCCCAACTCCCAAACCGACAGACAACTCATCGCAGCCTCGATGTTCTCCGCGGCCATGGTGGCAGACAAGGTGGTGAACACCTCAAAGCCTACGACGTGACCCATCCCGAACCCAAAGAAAAACAACAAATCCACAACCTGGTCTTAGCATAGGCCCAAATGGCTTAACCTCCAAACCACCAAGTGGCAGAGGGAATGACCCCTGGATGCTAAGTAGTTGGCCTGTTCTTTGTTTAAACATGTATTCCTTGTTGGGTTCCTTTAGGTTAATTCAACACTTACATGTGATTTAGCTCCCCGCAAGGAGAAAAAAGGTTCACCTTTCAAACAAAGAGAACGCGTTCACCAAAGAAATAGCCAGAAGAAACATAAACACGAGTTGAATACCTAAACCAAGGGAAACCAACACAAGCAATTATCAAAACACCTGCTAAGGGGAGGACTGGTCCAAAAGTCTGCCAAACGTGGCGGGTAGGGGTTTCACTTCCTCAGTGGTAGGCCGAACAAAGAAACACAATGAGTATGGAATCCTGAACACGGTCGTGAGGTTCGACTCCATTTTCGCCAGCTACCATGAACCACTGTTGAATGGGTCTTCCAAGGGGCTGATCCTCATAACGAATGGTTGGATTCCCTGTACCAAAAAGGGTGACCAAAAAGCGCATAAGGTCACAGGGCTCTCTTTTTTCTTGTTTTGCTCAGCTTCGCTCCCGTGCCCTGCGGGTAGAAATTTGGCTGGTAAAGGAAAGCCAAGAAAGCCGTGCAATTGTCTACCCCTGGGTGTGGCTTGGAGCCAGTTTTGGACCATGGGCCGGCAAATCGCTCCTGCCTCTCGTGGTGGACCATGATTCAATCCTGGTGGATGTTGGGTCTCTCCAACTCGGGGAACCAACGCTGTGTGGTTTTGCAGGGAAACCAGAAAGCAAAGCACCTGAACAGGTCGCCAGAAAAAATACATAAAAATGTGTTTTTTTCAAGGGCTTGGTGTTAAACCCTTTGAAAACCCCTTTTAAACCACCGAAAAACGGTCCCCGGTTCTGAGAAACACCCGGTGGACCATGTGACCGCTTGGCGACGCCGGCCTGTGGGCTTCCCCTCCTGAGGCTGTTCCTGGCCGCCAGGTTCCTGGCCGCCAGGCCACGCCGACGGGACGAAGCCAAGGGCACGTGAAAGGACCAGTCAAATGCAGAAGTGGGGTATATGCAGAGCATAAATCTATACAAATTGTATATACATATATAACTATATATATATATATGTCTGCATATATATATATATGTATCATTGTTGTTGCTATGAATATTGTTATTCTTATTGTTATTGTTGTTATACCGATCTGGATAGATACATAGAAAACAACATGACGACCCACATGTATTACACCGATGTTTATTTCCGGGGCCGACGGGGGCGCCAGAGGGGGAAGCCCTCATGAAAATGAAGCCCGAGGACCCAACATCGGCCAAACTCGATTCCAAGGAACCTGCCTTAATTTTCCGGACAGGGCGACTCTCCAGGCTACTCCATGGAGTGGAGCCCGACATGGAACCCAGAAAGCGCCTGTGGTCCAAACTAATTACCAGATGTAAGGAAGACCCCTATCCAGATTTATCTTGGTACGTTGTCTTGTCTACGCCAAGATCGATCAGGAATCAGAACCTTCTCAGTAAGTCGGTTCCTGCTTGATTCACCCGAACTCAACATCGTGGAAGTGCTCGGGGGGTATAAACGCGAACTTCTCTCGAGTTTGTCGAGCTTACACCACGCCACGGCCTGGCAATCTAAATCAAGTCCGATCAGAAAAAACATGGTTAACTTGAGGGCCACCTCAGCTTGCAACTAGAAATCAACTTCTCGATTTTGGGGGTTCCAAAGACTGGGCCTGGGCGGGCACGGAGACCTCGCTTGGAAGCAGCAAGGTACAGAAAATCCAAGAATCTGAGTCAATTGTAGCAATTCACAAGCCCAAAATCAAATTTCCCTCGGACAGACACTTTCATGCCGTCCAAGATCAGTCGCAAAACCCAGGCCGAAAGCCCTTTCCTCGCCTGCTCCTTGCGGCCGAAAGCGTTGAAGAATTTCTTGCCCACAGACTTCACGATGTTGGACTTGCCTGCGTCACAAAGGTCATTGTCTACCTTGCAATGCTTGCAAGCGGGTACTTCGATCCGTTTGACCCTTGCCTGACACGTTGTTGACCTCTCTGTCCCTCTCTGACGCGTTTTGGAACCTCGTCTTGAGCCATCATATCCTGATGGCAAAAGTGACTTCCTCGCTAGCTTCGGTGGGTCCGCTCCTGTCTGGTGGCCTGCCTGAGCGAACATAGGAGGGCATCATAGCATTTCCTACATGACAGCTGCTATGGGCCATCCTTGGAATTGATCACAGCATGTTCTGTGCCATAAACAAACATGAGTGACTAAATGTATGAACATCCACGAGTACAAATGAGAAGGCTCCTTTCAAGCCCCTGCGTTCTTTATTTGACAGATCAACCAAAAAGAACGGGCTCGATTTTGAACAGCCCAACTTGGGCGCTCTCAAACTTTGCTGCCCCAGCTGCGCTTTTTATGGAGGGAAACCTGCTATACCCCCAGGGCCCCAACCTAACCCTTCCGGTGAATCCAATTTGCAAATACAACACGTGGCCGGAATCTTAAAAAAACTCCCATGGCAATCTATTGACGCCCCTCGATGGCAGTCACCTCACGTTGAGGTTGCTATCACGAGCCAAAGGCCACGAGACGCTTGAAAAATCACCTGCGGATTCTAGGACCGTACCAAGAAAACCCTCTGAAATAGGTCGTGTCACCACAAGGGGAAAACCATGCAGGGTGAAAGTGGATGCCACAATTCCCTTTTGTGGCTAAGAGGGGGTAGCTCAACCGAAATCTGCTGAGTTGTGCAATCTACTTTTAGCCAACTGCATCTGCTGATTCACCTGGAGGAGTCCGGTACTCTCCTGAAAAATCATGGGAGCCATCAAGCTACAGTGGTTGCAGTAGTCTGCCAGGACCTTTCAAACGGGGGTCTATGGGGTGTGAGCCTCACGCTTAGTCACCGGCGTGCGGTGTATTCCAACTCTGCCCCGGTGACTGTGGATTCGCCAGACTTCCGTATGTTCAACCGGCCATGTTTTTTTCGGTTTTCAGGTGGCCCTGGGTTCAGAATTGAAATTTTCAAAAGTCAGACAGCAACACCCCACATGGAACATACGACCTCCTTTGGTTTCCCCCCAAAAAACAAAACACCTCGCCTCCGCCTTGGGCAACCAAGTCGTGGGTGGAGGAGGTGGCCGTCTGCAGGTCTTCCATGTACCTGCCACCCCCGGCCGAGAAAAAAAAAAGCTCGGGAGGGGCGCGGCCGAAAAAGGGTGTGTGTCTTTGTACTCTTTTCATTTTGCTTTTTAAAAATCCTCACCCAAGTGGCAGTGCTTCTACCCCGGGATGAGGATTCTGAGCGCGTCTGCCCCCCCGGCCATCCATGGAAAATCTGAAGATCGGGGCGATTCGGATCCGAGTCACAACCGCCGCAGCAAAAAGGCAGAACCTTGGGATATCCGGAAACCCCGCGTTGGCAAACTAAGGGGTCTTCCATGTGCAGGTGGGCTCCAAAAAGCAACCCACGGCATTCCTCGTTTGAAGATGGTCCTTGAGCTGAGTGTGTCTCACAGCTGGGGGGCCATTCATAAAGCCACAGACACCCAACTAAGAACTAAGTTTACTGGCCCCTTGCACTTCGCTTTTTCGACATCCCAAAACACAGCTCTGCAGGTTGGGGCAGCGCTAACAGAGATTCGATCGCGGCTGGTCTGATGCATGCAGAGTGGTGCAAACTGGGCAACAAAAGCGACGTGCGTTTTTCGAGCCAACAAAACCACAACCGACTCAGTAATCGAAGCTCTGCAAACATCCAACCAGAAGTAGAAGCAGCCCAAATGGTGTGGCCCATTGTCTCTCTGGAAATCTGTGCGCAAAAGTTGCCACGTTTTGCCCAAACCGTTACCCCGATCACCCAGTGACCAAAAAGAAAAAATGGCTCCCTGTTTGGGGTTGACAGTTTTAAGTGGGGAACCCGCAAAGATTTCGCTTGCCGAACCAATCTCGCGCCTGACGCGGGCTCGAACCACCACGGCCTTGACCTGAGCGAGTCGCCCACGCAAGGTTCAAGGGCTAAGGGAGGGATGTGGTCTTGGAGATGAGGCGCCCAACATCTTGGGCTTCTGCAAGCAATTTGGGTCTCCAAAAACTTAAATCGAGATTGACGAATTGGCGTGCAACAGGTTTGGTTCAGCGGGCAAACTGTTGACCTCATGCAAGGAAGGGCATCGCATTTCAAATTATGAACAGCCTGAAGGTCTGATGACACGCAGCGTGCTTTGCCGAAATCCGCTCAGATCTCCACGATTTCTCGTCTCTTTCCCTCCCTCTGAACGCCTCGATTTGTCCGACGGATTTGTCCCGCCTGCTCGTGAAAGAAGCTCGCTTTTTGCGCCTGCCATTTCGAGCAAAAAGGCACAGGTTCCTGATTCCTCCCCCATGGCACTTCTCTCAAAGTCGCCAACCTGACCCTTTCAACCATGTGGTCACGCGACTGTATGTGGAACAAAGCGCAAGAAACCAACCAGCCGCGAGCAAATCTGGGACAGGGGGAAGCTATTCCCGCAGCGACATATCGAGTGTCTTCCAACAGTCTGCAACACACAAAGAGGGTGTCTACGCAGACTCCGCGCAACTGACATGGGGCGAAAATGGAGCAAGACATGCCACAAGGCATTGCACCACGCAAGCCACCTACATCGCACAAAGACTCAAGTCCGCTTGTGCCACTCGAGCCCGCGCAGCCCCAACCTGCTGGCACGCCTAGAAGATCCAATCCTAGACGGCCCGTCGGCCACATTGGAAACGGGCGGCGGCCGTTTTAAAGTAAGGAGTCACCTCCAGACTCTCACGGGTCAGCGCGTGGATGATGTTTTTTGAGCGCTGAGCACGGGCATGTCGATGAACACAACAAGAACCTCTGAAGCAACGCCCAAACTCAACGCCTGTGTCACCTGATCACTCACTAGGTAAGACCATGCCCTGAGCGCACACCGTGACCACACATGGCTTGCACAAGAGGCTGGTTGCACAAGCGCAAACCTCCAAGGAACCAAGGGGAGCAACACGAACGCCACAGCCAAGGGACACCTGAGCAACGCAAGGCCCCAGAACCCAGAACCCATAATGCATCTAGAAGTAAGCGTCCAATTCACCAGCTTGGTCAAAGAAATCCTTCATAGCTGAGGTCTGCCCCCTCGTGAGGTCGCCAGCAAAGTAACCCAGAAACTTGAGGATGACCGGGCGAACTCCCCAGTCGACCATTTGCGTTATTCAAGATGGTGCAGGAGTGTGCACGCGTCCAACTCAATTTGGATTAAGGCGCCCGTTCCCTGAACAGAAATCCTGCTAGTTCTCCCACATCCCCACCGAGGGCTAAATGAAATTCCTAGTGATTGAACAATTCATCATTTGGATTATCATGCACTTCGAGGACATCAAAGCCGCTGTCCGAGATTCAATTATTCACCTGTATTGTCCCTATCATACTCCACCCCGAGTAAGCAAATAACCTCCCAGGGAACTTGATCTACAGGCCACATAAGGGGCCATGGCACAGAGCCAAAGTAGACATCGACTGAAAGAAGGAATCTTTAGACAAAAGCTTGGTTGACGTTGGAAGGGGAGCAAAAAAATAAGTTTTAGCAGTTAAAAAGGGGATTTCCCACTAAACCACAAAAAGCAAAAATGTAAAATGCTTCCTAACGACAAGCATGAAAGCACCATTACGATGGGTGAAATCTGTTAAATGTTGGCTTTGTGACGGTTGCTCTCTTACAGCAACCGAAAGCCAAACAAACTTACCCTGCAACAAGTGCTCTTTTTTGCGGCATCATAGCATGGTTGTTTTCAAGGGAAACTCCATGTGGTGGGGGCCCCGTACTTGCAGACACGCCCCCTGGACAAAGTGTCTGGCACTCCCTGACAGGAGCGAAAGCGCCTCAGCCAGCTTTCGGGCAATGTGCTCGTGCAGCACCCCAACCTCCTTCTCCGCCTGGCAGTTTCCGGCTGAACAGTTGCGCTTGCTCCGAGAGAATCACCCGGAAAACTGGTTGGCCCCCTGGATCTTAGTGGGGAGTTTGAGTGGGCCACCTCTCCCCCAAAACGGTTGATAGATTCCAAGGATCGATTGCTCAAATAGGCTGCAACCTTCATCTCTAGCATTTTGGCGGATAATCGCCCAAATCTGGGCAAACAACCAGCTGCATGAAACCAGGTCTCCAGTCAACTCCCCGTTGGTGCTCTTGGCAAACCAGGATTCCAGAAAGTGACATGACACAGATTCCAAATGGCGCTTCTCAAAATTAGGGACCCTTCAAGGTAATTAGTTGGTTTGCTTTCAATTGTTTCTGTTTAGAGCCCTGATAAAAAGGGGTCCGTTTTTGAGACAAACCTACATGAGAGGGGTTGTTCCCAGCCCCCCTTGCCATTGAAATGAGGGAAAGTTGGTCCAACGTCACAGCCCTTCAAGATGTGCATGAGCCGAAGCTCTTGCAAAGGGGGGCATCCGAGTTCCTTTTTTGGGCATATACCTCAGTGCACACATACATCCACAATCCCTGGGTTTAAGCCTAGCGCGGAGGCAATCAACCCGGCAAAAAGGCAAGCCCCCACACACCTTCTCAAGCTGTCTGCAGAGCTCCTTGGTGTCCAAATGCTTGGGGTCCATGACCTGCAGTTGACCGACAGGCCAAAATGAGTCACATCCGATTCATCCATAGGCAACCTGGGAAAATCAGTTGTGCACTCTTCGAGTGGAAAAGTTGGATTACCTGATGCCCACTGCAGAGACTGCGTTCCTTCTGCTTGCAGGTGCCACATTCGGGAGGGTGGCTTCCGGGACCCTAGGGGGCAGCAAGATCCTTTGCCTGGTGGCTGGCGACCCTGGTGTCTACTTCCCATGAGAGCACAAAAAACCATCGGGGTGTCTGAAAGGAAAAGGGGGTGGCAATGGCTAACACGGCCACATTACAGCGCATGACCTGGTTCCACCACATTGATCACAGGCCATGCGCTTGTAAAATGGTCAACTCTGATTCACAAGGCCAACAAGTTCACTTTCTGCTTGTGGCATCCTTCCAATTCACCAAAAGGAAGAAATGGATCCCTCAAAAACCTCCGGTGACGTTGCCGCCCTGAGTCCCGTGACCTTATAACGTGCCCGTCTCTGCGCCCCCCCCCCCCCGACCCCCCCCACCCCCCCCACCCCTCGCCCCATCTATGCTTTCGGCACGTCAGAGGCGTTGAAATGAACTCACCGTGAATGACAATCAAGGGCATTCAAAGTCTCTAGCTTGGTTCCATCAAGCGAACATGACAAGCGTGAACATATCAAACCTTGAAGTCAGTAACAAACTGATAAGTCTGTCTCAATCAGGGGCAAGGAGCTTGCCGAAGCCTGCCCCTTCCACGTTGGACCCAGCGCCTGGAACTTAACAACCTGTGCTTCATTCGGGGGCATAGATGGCCAGAAATCAGCACAACCTTCAGGCAGGTACGCAAAACGGCTCCCCCGTGCAGAGGTGACAAAGAACATCCCATGCGATCCAAAGGCTTGGAACAAATCAATGGTCCCAAAGAACCTGAAGCAATGTTGCCAGCCACATCCAAGTGACTCTTGCCCAACCCCGGCCTTCACGTTCAGGTCATCTGCGGCGATTTCCGGGAGAAGGGGATTGCGGTTCCCACTGTGACAGAGTTGGTCGGCTTGGAACTTGGGAGTCCCCATCACTCCCAATCTTTGACGTTCAATTCCTTGTGGCACATGGTCAGCCACTTTGGCCTGTCCGAATGCACAGGGGGGTTGCAACTCTTGACGTTCAAGTCTTGACTCCTTTGACGGGCTACGATTCTCTGTGAGAACACCTTGAGGCTCCTTGGGCTATGATCCAATTCAACAACGGCCTGTGCTCCTGCCTGTTCACTCCTGTTGTAACCCCGAATGTTGCATCTTTCTCATTGTCACAACCCAAATTGCGTATGCGCGTTTCTGTCTTGGGGGGGAACCTTTTTCAGGTTAGTTTAAAGGTTGGGGAACCAAAAGGGAAGGTCTCCGATTCTAGCACATAAACAGATGTCAATGTCCTAAGTGTCCCAGCCGATCAGCAAGCACCCTCCACAGGCGTGTTAGGTGCTCTCAGGGGGTAGTCCAGCCGCTCGGGGAGGTGCTTTCTATTCTAGGCACCGGTTGTCAACTGTTCCATTCCCGCAAAAACTGTTACTGTACTTTGTTCAGAAAGCCAACGAGTGAATCCAGTTTCCAGATTTGAACGCTTGTGTGGGACAAGGTTGTGAATTATCTGTGTGTTGTTTTTCACAAGACAACTTCTGAGTCCCCCTGGTGTTGTGGGAAATCTAGTGAGTCAGCCCGAGTCAGCTTTATCGTTGCGGAACGTTGGTGACTAGACTTTTTTTTTGGACAATGTCATGAGCCTCCCTTCTGATTTGACCAAAGACTGCGGCACGATTTGACCAAACCTCGTCTGATATCGCACCAATGGTCGTGCATTGATTGTGGAGGGTCCCAAGTACCTTCAAGGGAATACACTTATGGCCTGCAAAATCTTGTCAGAACCATGTGCAGTGAACAAACTGATCTTATCTTGAACCTGCTAGACGGCTGTGGGTCAAAAATAGGCACCCACAATGATTCAATGGAACCCTGGCAACTGGGAAACATGGACTAAAATCTGCGGTCCAATTCCTGGTGGCTTAATTTTGATCCACAGATGTCTTTCAGAACCTTTTCGCTTGCCGAAGCCTTGGAAAGGCACTTGGACCTTGTGTTCTTGGAATCCCTTGGTCACAGACCCGATTCGACTGCTGACTCACCCCCCGCTCCTGCAAAGGCCAAGGCGGCCAGAAGCGGCTTGGCCTCGCAAGGCTGCAGGCAGTCACTTCAGTGGCGTAACCCCCTCCAACACTTTTCCCCTGGATTCCAAAGTTGCACGCGCAAAGGAAGGGGAACGGAACGGCCCAAAATGGGCAGTGGTGTCCAACAGACAGAACCAACCGCAGGTCGCAAACGAAGTCGCCGTCGAGGAAATCAAATGCGGGTCCGGCCCAAATCATGGCTCGTCAACTCCCGAAACTGCGTACACACCAAAATCCCTCCTAGTGCGGAGTGGAAGCACTGGGACACACGAGACCTGTTTCTCTGATTGGGAAACTTGGCTTATCCTCCTTGCCCTTTGCCCCTCGCCTGGTTCTTGATGGACACCCTCGCAGGCTTTTCAGGCTGAGTGTCCTGACGCTTGCTTCTGGCTGCCCGGCCCCAGAGCAAACAATGGAGCGGCGACAGCGGCCGCGACACTCGAGAATTTTCGGGGCTTGCCCTTTTCATTTTCGATGTCGCCATATGTCGCCATGACAGAACTTTGGGGGGGGTTTTGGCGCGGACCCGCAGGAGGGGGTCCAATCCGTTTAGGCCGTTTAGGCGTCCCCCTGCCTGGGGCTCGGAGTCCATCTTGGTCCTGGGCCTCGCGAGTCAGCTCCAAATGATCTCAGCAAACCAATCCGAGGCCGGTTTCCCGTTTTGGGGAGGTGGGCCCGTAGAAAAAGAGTTCCCCCCCCCCCAAGCAAAAACAACATGCAGATGCTTGGGACATTTTAGGATTTTTGGATCCCAACAGGAAAGTGAATCCAACTAACAAAAGAAACAAGGATGCCACTGGACAACTGGGCAATCTCGATCGGTGGATGTTGCAAAGAGCAAAGCAAAACCAAACGCGAGGGGACACGGTGGTCTGCCTTTTGGTTCTCCTTGAACACCGCAAAAAATGGATCCCTCAAAGAAAGACACGCCCGCTGATCTCTGCATGATTAGAGTTAGGCCCAGTTGTAGAATGTATATTCTATTGTTTGCTTCAATTTGAGTCACTGGTAAAATCAATGGACACCAGGGTAGACTTGCATGACATTTTACCAGTGGCATTTGAGACAAGTCTACCCAAGTCTACCCAATGAATGGATAAAATGTATCCTAAGTCTAGCCAAGTCTGGATCCTTCGCAACATGAGCCACGCCCTTGGAGTGTGGCCTCAGCTCCAGCTCCGCCCGCAAGCGCGCCACCTGGGGACTGGCTGCCCGGCGGTTGGGTGGCTAGGCGGCTTCCCACCCGAACAAGGGGGCCCTGTTGGTGGACTGTGAAAAACTCACAAAACCCTGAAGGAACCTTATTTGGCTGGATCATTTTTGTGGACCATATAACTTTTTGGCACATGTCTGAAGGAAATTCATTTAGATGGACTGGTTTTGCGGACCACGGGACAACTGGGCCCCGTGTGTGCCTGCTTTACCACGTGAACTCGGTGTTCTCTTTCCAGCAGGCCCCAAAATAACTGTGTTTGGTGGCCTGCCTTGAAACATCCCCCAGAAGGGGTCCCCAATTTGTTCGACACTCCCAAGAGATTATCCGCATGGCTGGTAGACCATTGCTTTCGCCGCAGCCGAGCATCAACTGTTGAGGTTTAGGAAAGACACTGCCTCAACCAAACCCGCGACTAAAAAGAGTCCACTTCAGGAAGCAAACACGTGGCCGGCTTTTTTGGTACCCGTTATTTGTAGATGTCTGGTCCTTCAGATTTCATGTCAAATCCCCAGTCGGGTTTGGGGGCGAGTGCTCGCTTGCAGTCCGAGGGTCTAAAAGAACCTTGCAACGGCATAGGCCAGGGCCATGCGTCGGCCATGTTGACAAGGCCATGCACAAGCCTATAGAGACCCTATGTTTCCGAGGTTTTATGGTAACCCTCCATTTTCAAGTAGCAACCCCCCTGTGTCAAGTGTTTCTTAATACTTTCGAAGTAAAAAACGACTCGCTTTTGTGGCCCACTAATTCCAAGGTCTGGTAGGCAACCTGCAATTTTATGTTGCTTTAAAGGTGTTTCCTTTGTCACATTTTGTCACCTACAACCCCTCCGGGTGGTTTCCTTTTCGCATTCCTTGTAAACCATACAAAAAGGGCTCCCACATTCTGAGAAACCCCCAAAATTCATCCAATCACTTGGGGGTTTGAAGGGGGTGAAAGTCCCAAGGCCCACCTTGTACTGCTTCTCGTCGAGCATGTCCCGCTCCACCTGCGAGAAGTGACAGTCATGGAGAACACGAGGATCTGTTTGCCAATGTTTTTGCTTGTTTATGCTGTTTGGTTTTGCTGCATTCCTTCGCAGGGAAATATTGCAACTGGAATCCTTGTGGCGGGGTCCCTTCTAATGAAGCTGTCTCGGTTGAACCGATTGGCACACCTCCATTCGGAAAGAAGGAACACGTGCAGGAACTGTCCATACATGTGTGTGTGTGTGTCGGTTACAGTATAGTATTTCATGGTTTTCCAAATACATCATTCAAACAAGGAGGACACATGTGTAATGTCGGTCCCGAATTAGGCAGTCCGCTGGGTGGCTCTGTTTCGTGTAGAGTTTCATCCAGGGGAGTCCCCTTGCAACCTTTGACGCTTAAAAGGCCCACCATATTTGGAAACAGCCGGGTCAGCAGTAGTCATTCAGCTGACAGGGACATTGGTCGTTTGTGGTGTCCCCAAGATAGGAGCACTGAAATGGGGGCCGGCGTTCCTTTTCAAACAACCCAGTACCAAAAGAGAGAGAGAGAGAGAGAGAGAGAGAGAGAGAGAGAGAGAGAGAGAGAGAGAGAGGGGGGGCCAAAGAGAGAGAGAGAGAGGGAGAGAGACAGCCACACACGCAAACAAACACACAAAGACACAGAGAGGCAAAGGCACAAGCACCCACTTGTCACATCTGATGTGCTTCATTGACATTCTCTCTGCGGGGGTTTCCTAAACTATAAACTGGGCCCTGTCCGTTTCCTTTGGTTTCCAGTAGAAAATAATTAACCAAAATTGGTTGGCCATCTGAAAGTTCGGAAGCTGCACTGTTTGGTTCGCGGACACCAAAGAATAGGGAACCAGGGCAAACCATCTTGCAAAACCGCCAAAGAACCTTCTTAGCTGCTTATTGTAGTGGTAACTGGATCTGGGTTTCTTTCCAAGAAGCTGGCACACATGGAAAGCTGGTTCTTGTTGCCTGGTTGAATTGAATGAGGCGCGTCATCCTGAATCTTGGGGGAAACTGGAGACCTGATGATGGGCCACTTTTGTGTCATTGTTTTGTTTCCTCTCAGGGCTGGGTTGTCCCTTTCACCAGTGCCCTTCTTGTTGATTGACAGTTGGACCCCCGTTGAATGTGTGTAGACCCTAGGGGAGCTCAACTTACTCAGCCAACAAGTCGGTCAACATGTACCCTCCCCTCGCCTTTGAGGGGGCAGTCTATGATCAGGGCGAATGGGGTCCACAAAAGGGATCCTACGCTTTTGGGCCGCATGCGTTTGCTCCCCTGTGATTCCACCAGCTCAGCATCGCCGTTCACACGCGCCCAGCAGGTCTTGCGTATTGCCAAGGCCGGACGATACGCCGCAAACTTGATAGCGCACAAAACCTGGGAAGCAGAATGGTGTCCCCATCTGCCGTTTGGCAGCTTGCAGCCAGCCCACGGGCTTGTCCCCCCATTTTGCCAGGGCTCGTTTAGCAGCAGGGCTGCTGGCCCCTTTTGGCCGTTCTTCATTATGAATGGCTCAGGCACGCTGCACACGTTCGGTGCCATTGAAATGATGAAGAGCAACACATCCGTCCGGCTGAGTCGCTTGCCCCAACATTTTGAATCTGAACAACTGTCCAAGAAAAGGCTTGAGTTTACCAGCTCAACAGGTTTGTAATTGACATGGTAGGAACCGGGACAGGATAGCAAAGGCGCCGTGCTTCACATGTGTTCCCACAGAAGTCTTAGTCCATACCAACCTCAGTGGAACTTACTGCATAGACCAAAGGTATCATGTCATGCGATTTAGAGATGGAGGGAGAACACTTGATCATGTGACTCCAGCTGTAACAATGAGTGCAATTGAATTGGAAGTGATTGACCACGACAACAAGCTGTCTAATTCAAGGACTTGCAAACCACGCACTGCCACCTTCAAGTTTCAAATACTAATATTTCCAAGGCTAGCAACCCCTTTCTGCTGACTTGAAAAAAGAAGCTCGTTGGGGATCCACCAGCCCAATTCTCAAAAAGCCAACATCCAAATCCTACCCCTCCAGTTGAGGGATACACAAGCCTATCAAAAAGCCACGGACAAAACACAACAACACACCAGTAATCCAAACAAGCAGCAGCCCGCAAGGATGGCGTTCTGCCATCTTCTGCAAAGGGTCCGTAGGTCTGAAGAGACCGCTGAAAGAAAAAGGACCCCTTGTCCCTTGTGTTGCTTTTGCTTTTGTGGGCTTCTTGGTTTTTGTTTGTTTTGGTGGTGTGCCAAAACACTACCCCCCATGAGATGCCCTTCTGTTTAAAACCCAGGGTCGGAAGCGCCGCAGCCTTGATCACGTCCAGCACCTGCAGGGCTCAAAACTTTCCCGGCTGACACCTTGGCACCTGTGAAGCTGCTGAGCCGCAAACAACGGCAGAGTACAGGCACCCACGTCCTCTCCCACGTCCCTTGGGCTTCCTTGAACAACAGGCCATGGAATCTGGGTTGAAACAACTTCCCCTTCCAACGTCACACTGCCAAAAGGAAACTCTCTTGAAACTGGCTCAAAAAGTGATGCTCAAAACCACCGAAAGGGGGACTACGGGAACCGTCGGAGCCAACTCACAGCAGGAAGGCAGCACTCTGAATCTTTGCTCAAGGAGGAAAGGCACGAGGTATTCACCGCTTGGCTTCAGTTCCTGAAGTCCAATGACTCAATTTGAAATGAAGTATGGCAGTCGTCCTCACGTGAAGGTCGTACTCCGTACATGCCCCTCTCAAACCAGGTGCCTGAAGTGTGGAAGATTCGGAGTCCATAGGGCGCACGCAGCATTTCCCATACAAATGTTGGGTTGTGAAAAATAAGCCACATCTAGGTCCTCCAGTAGAGAGGTTAGAATAAGGGTACCCTTTTTTTTCTGTAGTCTTTTTTAGTAGTGGAACCCTCATCCAAAAACGGGTAAAAGGGCACTACTGGGGGACCCAGACCTTGTTTGGGAGCCTGGGTTGATGTCGCTCTGTCGGCTTTGACGGTCGCCTCTCGCATCATCCGCAGGCGATGCGGCGGCATGGTGTGCAGGGGATGTTGGCCTGAGCCACACCGAGCCGCGCTCCCGGCCAAGCTCTCTACTTCAGCAACTGATCCCAGGGCAAATGTCCCCCGTTCCTATTCGCTCGGGCTCAGGTTCAAACCGTAACAGCGGCGGGCCTTCGTTTTGGTTTCCCGATAAACCCTGCTTGATGCTGGTCGATTTTGAGGCAACCGAGGTCCCAAGCATAGGTTCTGGGAATGAGACGCAAGGGCTGCATTGCCCGCAGTCACATGCTTCAGGGAGGACCCAACCGGTTTAGGAAGGTCCAAAAGTCTTCGGGGGGCGTTCAAAAGAAACCAACCCCCGCCAATTCTCATTTTGGCCGTGCCCCAACGTCGGCCACTGAGCCGACCCCCTTTCTCGCTCGGCCGCCCGGCGGCACGTGGCGAGCAGCGCCCTCGCGCTGGCATGACGATACTCCTGGAGCAAGCCCGAGCCAGGCACCCAGCTGGTTACGGCAGTTCCAAGGGGCCGAGAAGACCCTTGCCCCTTGCTCATGGCTTGCCGCAAGGCTGAAGGAGCCGAGATGTAAAAAAGAAATGGATCGGTAGTCGCAAAAAGGAATCAAATCCAACGAACCAAACCAAAATCAATAAGCGCCGATCTCCTGCATTTGAACCAATCCTGTGCCGGTACAAACAGTCAAGGGTCTCAGGCCGCCTGTAGGTAGGTGAGACAATGTCGCCATTGCAGTCCAAAGCCAAACCGAAAACCACATTCAGGGACCCTCTTTGGTCTGCTCTGAACTGAAACCAATGTGAAACAACCCATTTGCAGTGAATTCTGAATCTTGATCCAAAGCCATTTGGGCCAAAAACATGGTGAAAGCTGTTCTGTGTTGGGTCTCTCGGGATGTTTCTCCACCTCAAATAAAATTCGGCTTCAGTTTCCTCGCGCTGGGATTCCCCCAAGTTCCCTGACAAACATGTGCCTCAAAACAAGGACACCGCAAACGGCCGGCGTCCTTTTCGGTTTTCGGCTCCGAGCCAACCCCTCCAAACCAGCAGCCACATCCGTCCTCGATAGGACTGCCCAGCTCCGCTGAGGGCGGCGTCCCGAGCATCACAAACCTCCCGCGAGCGGTCGCCAAAGAGGTGGTGGCTCAGTTGGCGAGCTTTGACTTCTTGCAATGGCCCAATAGCCACGTGGCTGTGGGTCAAAACCCTTTACGCCCGGTGAACATCAAAATAGGTGGCAAATGGATGTCCACCCCAAAATGGAGCCATAAGTTATGCCCCATGGTCACATGCGGTTAGACAAAGATCATCACTTGCAAGTTGGCACCAGCCGTGGCGGACAATTTGTGTCTCCCTTGAAACACGCCCGGTATTGGCGCTGCCACTTGGGCACCTGCACAAACAGAAGCTTGGGGAATGACTCAACGAGCGTTCTGGGGCCCTCGTGTGATTTGAGCCTCATGACCGAAACCCTTGGACAAGGTTGGCATTGAAAGGAGCTAAGGCGACGCCACAGCCTCAGAAACCACTAAGCCAAGTTGCTTATCTCTAACCCCTCCAGCTTTGTTTTGCCGTTGCTTTGGGCCATTTTGGTTCCAAACCTGGCAATAGGAGTGACCCGAACCGTCCCTTTCGTAGTTCGCTGGGTAGCCAGCCAGTCCCAACGAGTTTTGAGTTTAGGGCGTCTGGGAAAAAAAGAAGAAATGCCAATCCCTGTGGTTTTCATGAGAAAATAACCATCACATCGCATGATCTGTTGCTCCCAAAACAACCGAAAGCGCACAGGAATCCTCTCAGTTCTCTCAGTTGCCCCTCAGCACCATTCACATCTCATTCAGTCCGCCCTTAGTGAGAGGACTCCATGGAAAGCCAACATTCCTCAAGCCAAGGTACCATGGTCACGAGTCTCCTCTTAGAATTCGCATGGCAAGCCTCTGCAAGTCACCCAGGTGTTTCGCGTTGGACTCTCTCACACATCGCTCGTCAGACCGGCCTTGCTGGGTTCTTGCCAACCTTGGATCGGCCATGGCGAGCAAAAAAAGCCGAAGGAACTGGCAAAGACAAATCTTTTCGGACATGTCCAGTGATTTCATGGACCACGGCAACCACAGCAAAACATGTAAGCCTCATGCTAACACAACGCTTACCTGCTCTGATATGATGCTATCTGGGATATTCAAAAGTTGCCGACCACCCATCCGAAGGCATGTGAAAGGAAACCAACCATCTGCGCACATAGCAACCACAACTACGGTGGCAAAAAGAAATCCAAGGTCGACGTCTAAACTAAGGCTACTGGGATTTGAAAAACTGGGGCCCCTGTTTTGTTTTGGCAAACGAGGACACCAGTGCAGCATGAGACCAACCATTCGTAGGTTAATCCTGGCCGCACAGCAAGGTTTTAACCAAGCAGCCCAGGTTCTCCAAATCCGAGGCGACTTTGGGAACTACTCTACTCCATTCGTGATTCTTGGCTAAAAGCTGGTTGCGTCGTCAATGTGGCGTTGCTAGTGACCTGACAGCAAACAGCAGCATGTGTTTACCTCCTGCCCCCTTCATTGAGAGCATCACTTGTCACAGCTGGCATGGGTCCCGCTCACACTTTCCTTTCGAGACTTGCGAGTGTTGAACAAAACTCTCAATGGTTCAGACAAAAGGCTTCAGTTTGCTTTATCCCCTTCATGTACCACCACTCGCTCCAGGGTCTCGGTCTCAGGGCTCGGATAGGGGCATGGCAAAGCCATCTGTCACCTCGCAACTTTGCCTTTTTTCTCAGCCGAACGCTTCCGATTTCGTGAGCCCTGATCGGCTTCCGCTAAGTCCGGCCTAGTCCTTTTGACCAGAAAGCTCATGCCGCGGTCCATCCGTTTCGCTTGTCCAAGGGCTTGCTTAGGGCTTGCTTGTAACTTTGAGACAACTGGGCCAAGCTTCCCCACGAATCTAGCCAAAATAGAAAGGGGAACCCTTTTTTCTCACCCTCCAAACCTTTTTTTTCAACCCTTCCCTGTTTTTTCAACCCTTCATCCTTTCTGTTTAACCCTCCCCCCGTTTTTTTTAACCCTCCCCCCTTCTTTTTTAACCCTCCCCCCTTTCTTTCTGACCCTCCACCTCTTCCTTTTAACCCTCCATTTCTTTTTTGCCAACCCTGTGGCCGAAGTTTGCGGCAACTGCACTAAGCAACGGTCCAGGGTTGGGTTGGTTTAGGAGCGGCTTTGGATTTAGGGTTTGTTTAGGGTGCGTTCGGGCGGGGGGGTAGGTGGGTTTAGGGTTGGTTTCGGATGGGAAGGGTGGATTTAAGGGTTTAGAGGCGGGGTAGGGTTTGTTGAGCAAGTTTGTGGTCGGTTTAAGTTTAAGGTTGGTTTCGAGCAGGTCTGTGCTGGGTATATGGTGGGTTTAAAGTTGGATGAGGGTGGTTTTGGGCTTGGAGAATGGGTCTACAGCGGGTTTAGGATGGATTTAGGGTTGGTTCAGGCGGGGTTAGAATGGGTTTAGGGTGAGGTCAGGCTTGGGATTAATGTTGGATTTACATGGGGGTGGGATTAGGGCGTGTGTCGAAAGGCTTCAGGGTGGATTTAGGGTGGATTTAGCGTTGGCTTAGAATCTGTTTGAGGTGGGTTTGGGGTCGGCTTCGGGTGTAGAGTTGGACTAGGTAGACTTAGAGCAGGATTTCGGTGGGTTTGTGTTTGGTTTAGGTGGTCTGGAGTAGGTCTGTGGTGGCTGTAGGGTTGGCTTAGGGAGGGCGGGGTTTGGGGTTGGTTTAGGCTTGGATGTGGATTGGTTTTGCGGCTGGCCTAGGGTTGGCTTCACTGGATTTAGGGTTGGGCCAAGCTCAGCTTAGAGTCTCAGGGTGCGCTTAGAGTTGGATCAGGGTGGGTGCATGGTTGGTACAGGGTGGGCTTCTGGTTGGTTTAAGGTTGCTTTGGAGTGGCTCAGGGTTGGTTAGGGTTGGTGTCGGGCTAGGTTGGTTTTGAGTTTAGTGTGGGTTTAGCGTTGTTAGGGTGGGGATTTAGGGTTGTTTTTGGGTGAGTTTAGGGTGGGTGCAAGGTTGGTTTAGGGTTGGTTTTCGCTGGGCTTGAGTTTAAGGTTGGTTTTCGGGGTGGTTCGTGATTGGTTAAAGCTGGGTTTAGAGTGGGTTTGGGATTGGGTTAGGATTGGCTTAGGGTCGTTTTCGGGTTGAGGGTTGGTTTTGGGTCGGTGGGTCTGTTCAGGGTTGGTTTAGGTTGGGCTTAGGGTTGCATTAAGGCTAGATTAGGGTGGGATTGGGGTTTAAGCGGGTTTAGGGTGGGTTTATTGTTGGCTTAGGCTAAGCTGGATTATGGTTGGATCAAGGTTCGGGCGGGTTTAGAGTTCGTGTAGGGTGGGTTTAGGGTGGGTGCAGGACTGGCTTGTTGGTTTAGGGTTGGTTTAGTTTGTTGATTTAGGGTTGGTTTAGGGGTCGGTTTGGGATTGGTTAGGGGTGGGTTATGTATGCTTTAGGGTGGTTTCGAGTGGGTCTGTGGTGCTTGCGGTGGGTTTAGGGTTGGACAAAAGACGTTTCTGGCTTGCTTGGGGTTTAGGGGGTGTTGTGTAGGGTGGGTTTGGGGTGGGTTTGGGGTGGGTTTGGGCGTGTTTGGTTTGAGATGGATTTAGAGATACTGAGGGTTCGCAAGGTTTGGCTTAGGGCGGGCCTAGGGTTGGTTTGGGTTGGGTTGGGTGCGGGGCAGGCTTAGGTTGTTTTAGGTTGAGGGTGAGAAAAACAAGGTTGCGGGGTGAAACAAGCAAGCTCGCGGGTGGAAAAAACAAGGCGGAGGGTGAAGAAAACAAGGCAAAGGGTGAAAAAAACAAGGTGAGGGGTTGAAAAGAAAGGATTTCTCAGGGTTGGAGAAGCAAGGTTCCCGCCGACGGTTCCCAAGCAGGGTTTGAGGGTTGAAAAAAAAGGAAGGGTTAAAAAAACAAGTTCGGAGGGTGAAAAAAAAAGGGAGCCCAAATAGAAAACCAACCCATCATACGATCACCACAACATAGAAGATCGAGCAATTGTCGAGCAAATGATATTTACGGAAAGATAGCCGTTCAAAATGGGGAGTAGCCCGAAATGCAAAGAATGTTCAAACGCCGTGATATGTTAACATCTCAAAACCTCCTTGATCGCATCAGCGCGCGCGTGCATGGCCAACAGAGTCCTGGAGCCCTGACTCTCACTCCCGGCCAAAGGCTGAGGCCAAAGTAAAGAGATGCCGAAATCCGGGGTCCGTTTCCTTGGCGCCGAAACGAAAGCCTATCCAAGCCTCAAGAAGTATGGCATGGATGGGGAACGCCTCAATCATTCAATCCGGCCGCCGCGTTGGCGCAATTTGGCATTGCAACAAACACCCGGCGCAGCTATTGCAGAAGTTGGAGCTTGGTTTTCCACTGGTTTCTTGCTCCAACACCCTGTTGCCGCGACTCGATATATTTTTTTTGCATACTCCGGACCTATGAAAGCAAAAAAGATAGAGGATAGCGCCTCGGGCCATGAAGCATCATGATTCTGCGAAATGTGGAGCTGAACGATGCAAAACCTGGGAACACCACGAGTTCACAAAGTTGCCAGTTCAAGTATGCCAAGGCCCGAAAAATCCTCAGACAAAGGTCACTTGCAGGACGAGCAAATGTGCAAAAGGTAGAGGTGGAATACCAGCTGCAGTCTCCAAAACCGTCCCCCACAAAAAAGGGTCCCTGACTTATCGTGCCTGTGGGAAGCTACTTACCAAAGAGGTAGCTCTTGCGGGTTTCCCGCTCTTTCTGGTCAATTCCGCTAGTTGGAACTTCAGGATTAAATAAACATACGGTTGAAAGAGCTTACTTTCTTCAGACATTTGGAAGACACCCCCCCCCCTGCCAGGTTCTACGTGGCCCTGGGGTCAACATTCAAGGGAGGCAAAGCTAAACTAGCCACTTATTTAGGGGACCCTGATTCTAAGAAAAACCCAAGGTGGGTTCCTTTTGGTTTCCCTTTGAAACCAAACCAACACGACAATTTTCTCCCCAAAACTTCCAAAAAGGGTGGATAAATGGGCTCCCAAAGGGTGTTTCTCCTTTGAACGGAACCTGTTTGCTTTCCCCCGCAAAAAGGACGGCCTTCCTCAAACCACAGCCGGGCCCTGGCAAGGAACGCCAACGACTCAACTTCAATCCAACCTGAACCTCGGAGAAAAGAAAAAAAAGCACCTTAAAAAACGCACCTTTAAAAACCATCAAGTTGACTTCCCTGTTGACCAACCTTGCGGGTACCCCATGGTCCGACTCCCCAAGCGGCTCCGCGCCCCGCCACTTCCGCGCCCCGCGCCCCGCGCCCCAGCGGGTCTCCGGCCGCAAAGGCCAGCACCCACTCGTTTGCGGCTTGGGGCGTCTGCAGGTAGGAGGGCGCGCACGTGACCTCGGGGTCCCCCAAAGCCCGCGTTGCTCACAACCCAAAACCCGGGCCCCAGGCCTTTGTTGTGGTACCTCATCAAACTCAATACCCTCTCCAGCACCCAAGCTGAAATGTTGTGAAGAAACCGTTTATATGTGGGAAAGAACACCTGCGAGTAGTTGCTTGAAGGCGGACACCATCTCAAATGCAACCAGTCCTAGTCTTGGCCCCGCATGACCGCTGCTCGTCCCCGTTTTGAGCCCAGCCGCTGCAACGTACAAGTTCAGAAGGCTCCCGTTGCCAAAGAGGTACCTCAGATCTCAGCCCACGGGAGCTAACGTCCCACAGCAAACCAATCAGGGGCAAGGAGAAGTCCAGAAGTCAAGCTCACAGCAACAGCTTGAAATAGAAAGCCTGCATCGACAAACAACTGACACCACCAAAGTTTTTTGTTTGGGTGGCAATTGAAGATACTAGTAAAAATCAATAAGATGATATTAAAGCTGATTGTGTTTGTTCCTTCGTGTTTGTTTTGTCAGTCTCCGTTCCCGGGCACGAAACACGCTGTATGATACAGTGGCTTTACGCTGCCTGTCATCGGACCCCTGGCTTACCAGTGGGCTGGTGGTTTACGATTGGCTTAGGATTGGTTTAGGGTCTAGAGTCGGCTTGGGGCTAAGGGCGTTGGATTAGGGTGGGTTTAGGGTTGGTACAGGGGTTCGGGTTGCCTTGGGCTTGGCTTAGGGGTTGCTTGAGTCTTGTTTCCTTTGTAGACTTAGGGCTGGTTTAGGTACGTGGGAGCTCGTTTGTGTCCTGAGCCTCGCAAACATTCTCCATCTCCCACCTGGTATGGACCCGAGTCAGACATTAGTTAAGCCTCACGGAAGGCTTGAAATTCGAGTTCTAATCGTGGGGGTTGGGCCGTCCAATTCGAGCAACATGGCCGTTCAATGTCCATGGCAACCACTTACAACTACTGACCACTTACCAAGCATCGGGCCCAAGCTGCTCGCTCATGCCCCCATGCCCTCCCCAAAGCCCCATCTGCCGTGCCAGGCGCTGCAGCAGGAAAATGAGCTGCGACAGGCTCTCCTCCGTGACGCTGCCGAAGCGCAGCACGCAGAGGAACATGCCCACGCCCTTGGGGGCCTCGGACCGGAAGCTGAGACACGCGAGCGCTTCCTTCCGCTTGCTTCGTTCCTTCCCAGCCCGGAAGGGCCTTGGCATATCCGACCTTGGCACGTTGGCCTTGGCCTTGTTTTTTTTTGCAGTTCAGTGGGCAGCCATGATGTTCACAGGCTCGGGACTCGCATGGCCAAATCTTCGCCAGAAGCCCATGCAACCCAAAAACTACGACAGCTCTATTGCAAACTCTGCTTCGGGACCTTTTGGTTTGGCCTCCAAATGGAGTAGAACCCTCACAACCGGTGGTGTCCCTTTTTGCCCCTGCACAACAAGCCCAAAAGCATCTGAGCGAACCCTGTTGACCTGACCTGGACCATCTCCAAAGGCCCCTGCTGCGAGGAGGACATCGCCTAGAAGCCGCGCTGCCTGGCGGTTGCTGATGGGAGACATGGGAGACGTGGAGACATGGGAGTATTCAGCACCTGGGTATCTCTCCCCCAAACATGGAAGTGCCCCCTGTCCAAAAGCAAAGTGGTGTTGCAAGAGGGCCTGCTTCCATGCTTGTTGGTGGAAAAATACCTCTTCTGAGACAAACCCAACAAACATACTGGTCCACCTGGACCCAAGAGGTTCCTTCCGAAACGCAACCTGTAACTCGGTTGCAAACTCTGCTCCCCTGCTAAAAGTTTTTAACTTTTAGTGGTTTAATGCGGAAAACCCATTGGTTGGCAAAATTTAAAGTCCTAACATCCAAGCAAAATGCACCAAAGTGTATCCGTGGACCGAAGGAGGACGCCCTTTGTGGTTTCATCTGGGACTAGCAAGTCGAACGTAGCAAGACGGCTTGGGCGCTCGCATCCTGAAACGGGCTCATGCAAAATGAGCTGCGTGTGTGCGGAGCCACAAGCGCATACCCCAAAGTTCAAGCGACCGCTGCATCTGTCAAGCTCGGGAGTCACAACAAATAGCACAGAGACCCTCAAGGGCAGCACTCAGAAAACCAGCAGGGGGGCGTCAAAATAGGGAGAGCCCCAAACGAGTGTGTCCGTTTTGGTGTTGCTTGGAAAACCCGAAAGGGTTCCCTCAAAACAGCACACACCCCTCTAGTCTCATTCCTCCTTCAACCCGGAGGCTACCACGCGCCCAACTGGTCCCGGCCTGTTCCTCGCTGGGCGGCATCTTGTCCAGGCCCGCCTTTCCCACGCGCCCGCTGTCCGTTTCATTGGCCCAGGCGGACCGCCCAAATGCACTGCCTCAAACTGGGCACCTGCTTTGGAGATGGTTTGAAGAAACACAAAAGGAAACCACCGCCGTTCATCTCTTTTGGGGGGTTCCCCATTTTAGGAAGCACCAAAATGGGGGAGTTGAAGCTTCAATGGCCTGCCCCCCAGCGTTTAGCTGCGGCTCACATAGACAGGCGAAGTGATATGCATAGACAGGCGCACATATGTTGCATTTCGAGGATAGGGATCACCCTATAAAGTCTGCATAAGGCCTATGTAAGCGAGATACATATATGTATATATATATATATATGTATTAACTCATGTGTGATTTATTTCCAAACACGTTGCTTCCTGTTGGAAAAGGAGGCTGCAATAAGGTGTTTGGCCCCGTTGCTTGATTGCGCTGCAAACTGATAAACAATTGTGCCGAAGCAATTTCCATCTTTGCCCCAAGCGGGGAACCAACAGAAGGATGCCAAGCAGCGATTCAGTTTGGCGCTTACGTTCTGCGTCCACTCGCAGTTGGGGGACTGATGCCCTCAACTCGGCAGCGGTCGTTCAACAAGCACTAGCGCCGTGCTAGAATTGGTTCGTGCGGAAGCTGGCGATCGGAAAGTGATCAAAAAGGCCGACTGCCACCACCCGACTGCTACGACAGCTTGGCTAGCAATTCGGAAAAACAACTCAAACATGCCCATGCCCAAAGAGGCGTTTTGGAGTCTGTTTTTCATGTCATCCTTCAGAATCCAAAGCACACCTCCTGATCTTCAGTCACCCAACCTAATCCAGCTTGATGCACTTCTGGTGATCTCTCGAAATGACCCCTGTATGTGAGGGAGTACCAAAACATGGTCTCGGCCTTTCCCTCAAACGGCGAAAGCACATACGCAAACTGGCCATTTGGAGGATAAAGGTCATCAGGTCATCACAAGCACGCAAAACCAAGGCCAATGACAACTCTCCAATGAGTTGTTTTGCTTCTCAAGGGCATCCAGAGCGAGACCACGCCCGGATCTCTAGAAACCCACCGCGAGAAAAGCCAAGACTAAAATCAGGCGAATTGTCGAACAGCCAAACAGCTATTGGAATTGGTTGGCCCTGTCAAGACAGTTTTCTAAATTCCCATGATTGCGCCTCTTTTGAGCATAGCTGGTTTCGAAACAAGTCTTTGAAGGTCGTGGCCCTGACACCTGGCAACATCGATCCGGCAAAACAAAGATCCCACAAATCCTTCAGGCGACCGTGAAAACTCGTTGCTTGCTTGACGCCCGTTGGAAAGCTGCAATGACACAGGTGCCTGGTTGCTAAGCACTTTTGCCTGCAAACCCGGAGGCAACAACCCGTCGATCGGGGCTTCCCGGCCATGTCTATGACGGTCAGGCACCCATCCGCCGCTTCCCAGCTCGTCACCTCTGAGCGGACACGACCCAGGCAGGATTCAAGAGAATGCAAGTCTCACAAAACGTGTGCAAAGGCAGTGCCTCTTCCAATCAACTGGGTCGGTTGTCCCAGGGAAACATGCGCGTCAGGCTGAAACACGGCCGAGCAATGAGCAAAATCAAGCAGCCTCTTAGTTTCTACCATTCACAACCCTTGAATCACCCGCCGTCTGGGCGAAGGGCCTCTGGTATGGAACGTGCCTTACGAAAAGGAAATCCGAAAAGGGTCACAAAAAGCCACACAGTCTTATCTGCTCATCACATGATTTAATGCTTCCCCACTATACGCTACCCACGACGCACGAAAAAGCGGCAGATTTACTTGTGTTTGAAGGGCGGCGGATTGTCAACCAAGGCTGAAGTTGCTGTTAATGGACCTATTTCGAGGCGCAACTGCAACGAGGAGGAGCCTTTGAGGTTCTTGAAGCAGCGGCATTTCTGTACTAACAAAGGCGTCACAGCAAAATAGCTGCATCCCCTTGTGGTATCCTTTTGGGTCCATTGAGCACGGGCTATTTGGCACCCTGCAAGCCTAAAGTTTGGGAAAGTGGGTTCGGAGATGGGTCTAAAAAACAGTGTTCAAGGCAAGGGGTCCAATTTAGCAAAAACCTAGAGGGGTTGCTGGAAGACTTCCTCAATCAGACTCCATGTCTCGGCTCATGGGGCCCCGGCTGTGTCGAGCTTCGTCACCAGAGGGCTCTGCTCGCCGCTGAATACGTCCTCGCAGCCGAAGAACGCGAAAAAGCTGCAATACATCTCACGTGGAATACATCTACACTTGTATATTTGTGTACCTCTGTACAGTTGTGCATGTACACATGGTATAATCATGTATAATAGATATACGTATAGCCCAACCTCAACTCAGCCACCGTTGCAGGGGGGGGTACTTGATTGCAGAGGGGGGGTACAAAGACCTTGACTCTGTTGTTCATGCTTCGGAGTTCTGGATGCCAAAATGAAGTCTGGGCTGCTCGGGCGTGATTTGCTGGTGATTTGCGCCACTTGTCTTGTTAGTGTCATTCGTGCAATTTCATATGTGTTTTCTTGGTTGAACTTGATCATCCAACATCCTGAAACATGCAACGCAGCTTGCTTCTACCAACTCATGCTTCAACGTGAACTCCCAGAGCACACCCAATAGACAACAAAAGAAAACAAGCATGACTTGACACCGAAAGCACACCAGACGGACACCGGTCGCGCGGTATTCGGATCGCGTTTTTGCATAGCGCCAGGTGTCCAAAAAGCAGAGTTCAGCCCTGCCAAATGCAGTTTCCAGTGTTCGCTTGGAAAGCATGACTAAAACAGTCCCTGGTTCCGGCACATCCTCAGATTTGACTTGGGTGCTAGGCTATCTGGAATCACGCTCTTTGCCTTTCACTGAAAGCGTTGTAAAACCCGTGCAAACTCACTTATTAAACAACGGCAAAGGTCAGCTGGCCGACAGGAAGGCATCGACGCTTTCCGAACTGCGGCCTGCCCGCTTGGCATGGCCAGTTGCACAGACCACAACTTCAGCGAGCTCGGCGATCCATGCCCCGGTTGCCTTGCCGGCGAGGAGGTTGCAGACCGCTGAGGACTTTGCCCCAAAGACCAGCAAGCTCCTCAGATGGGAACGAAACCTGTGATCAAAACGTGGCTGTCTGGGGGCTGGGGGGGGGATACTTGCCTAAGGTTTTAGGAATCTACTGTGGTCGCATCGCAACTAATCGTACCAAACGCTTTTGTGCAACTGGGCTCAAACCGGTCAAGCAAGCGCGGCATATTCCAAATCCACGGCCCATCTTTCCAGCCCAAGCCTCGCCCCGGAGGAGACGATACTTCCCTTTTGAACATCACCCAAGACGAAGCTCGCTTTAAGTTGGCCAAGAAGGAGATGTCCAAAACTGCCACGGGGCAAATCTAGGGAACCCTGTCAGATTCCCGCCGAGAGGCAAATGATACCCGGGCGGCAGCTGGCGAAGGTTCGCTTCCGCGTCCAACACCGCATCCACATTGGTCAACTGGCCAAGGCGCCGGTTGAAGGGGTCTTAGGGTTCTTCACAGGTCATATACATTGCACATGTGTATCACAAGGGGATTCCTTCATAAGGCGGAATAGAAAAGGGAGGTTCCTAGATATTCACAAACAGCAATTAGGCTTCCCGAAGTGCCATTAAAACCCATCTATGACCAAAAGCTAGTTCGCTTAATCCGCGAAGAGTTTCAATTGCTTCCGATCCTTCGACCCCATCTCATTTTACCGACAATTGTGTTGTCTTCTGCACAGTGTGCCAAATTATGCGGCTCTCGGCAAGAACTCACCCACCAGCCCGGTGGGTCCCATCCAGAGTTCCAGGTGAGGCAACAGAGTTGATGCCTCAAGGTTCCCAGCAAGGCCGTATAACAGGATTATCTGAGACTGCTTGCGTGCATTGCTTGCAAATGATTTAGGAGTGTGTCTAAGCTGCAATCCGTTGACTCTACCCCAACCCCTCTGACGCCTCCGATTCCATGGGTTTGAGGATTTCCTGGCAACGGGGGTTGCGTGTCCTGCGCCAGCCAAGGGTCCGAGGGCTTCTGGAGGACCCAGACTTCCTGCCTACACTGCCGCAGGGTTCTCTACGGAAGCCTGGGGCCAAAATCCGAACCCTGAAATCCATTTGGCCATGGGTCAAAATCCAAATCGTACCCCCGGTGAACGTCCCAATCCAACCACTAAAATAGGCTCTAAAATGGGTGGTGAATTAATTCGCCAATCCCCCAAAATGGGATCCCCTAGGTGTTGACCCAGCCATTTGGCCAAGGAAATTCAGACAACTCCCAACTCCCAACTCCCAATTCGCCTCCTCCAGGCCCTCGATGAACCGGGCAGGCTCCTCATGCGATCCCGCTTCCTTCAGTTCCTTCAGTTCTGCACCCCAAGGCCAACTGAAACGCCCAAACAAAACCAAGTCCATTCCCAGGGTGCCGATGCTCTTTGCCCTCGGAACAGTTGACCTGTTTGGAGGTCTGGGCTATGGTTTTAGGTGGGCAAGCCCAGTTTCAATGCGGAACAGCACTCTTGACATGCAAGCCGCGCATGTTTCGCGATCCCCTTATCCCCTTTTGGACCCTCAACCCAGGCAGCTCGCTGACAATCAGTGTTGAATTGCTTCGTCTTCAAGTACTGCACGTCTGAGTCTGAGCTTTGCCCATGGGGATGAATAAGCGTCCTTGACATGTTCTTTCCGATCTCCCCCACTTGGAGTTTCATCCAGGGCAACACAAAGATGATCAATTGACCGATCAAAGCATCACGGTCGGATGCTGGTTGGAAGTGCGCCCACTGCTCCACTCCACCCCAACTCCCCGAGAAAACACCAACCCAGACCCAACCCAAGCATTCACCACAAATATGTGGTCCTTTCAAGCAAACCATCCAGACATGTGCCTGGTCTATCACCAAAAGGAGGAGGGAAATCCAGCCGTTAGCTTCTAGCCTAAAACCCTCGCATTTCTCAGGGGGGAGCCTCTCCCCCAATCGCCCTGCCCGAGCGCTTGCCGTTTTCGTCTCCTCCCCGTCGGTATCATCAGCCCCAGGGCCTTGGCAGTGGCAGCCGCACGTCCTCGGCTCTGGCATCCGGAGGCGCTCCGTGGGACATGGGCCGGCCGTATGTCTCGGAGTCAAGGGGAAGAGGGGTTCTGGGTTCTGAGGGCGAGCTCTTTGGAGCCCTGTATCTTGCTCCATTCCATGCCCTGACCGAGCCCACCCCAAAAGTTAAGCGTCCTCGATCTTTCAGAATACCCCGTAGTCCCCAGAAAGAAACAGTATCATTTTGGGGCCCCGCCACGGGCACCCTCACTGTACCATCCGAGGTCCACAAGCGCGCTGGGCGCCCCGTGCCATGCCAGAGGGCCATCTGTGAGGCTTTGCCGCCAGCTCATGCCTAGTGGCCGAAACCAATCCGCAAGAGACAAAGCCGAACGCAGCCCGAAGCGATTCAGACCCATGCCCAACGCAATCGATTCAGCAACACCGTTGCTCCAAAGACCCTGCGGAAGGGAAACTGGCCCCAAACCGTGTCCCCACAAATCAGCTGGCAATACGGAAACCCCATACCAGAAGCCATCCTTCATCGCGCGGCCCGAGCTTGTCCAGGTCAGCTTGTAATCGGTGCAAACCAAAGTCAATTGATTCACACGGCCAAAAGAAGGTGTGGGCAAATGTTCAAAACAATTCCATCCTCTGGTGATTTGCTAACAAAGCACATGGAGTGTAGACGTGCCTCGACGTGTTTCCCTCAATCTTGTCCCGTCAAACCTCGACTCCTGGCCTGTGCCAAGGGCAGGGAAGGCCTGAGGCTCCCATGGGCCCGTGGCCTAACCCCTGGTCTGTGGCATGGGTTGTGTGCTCCTTTGAGTTGACCCTGTTCCTGCTTTTCGTTGGTTGATGGCAGGCGTAGTAGCCAGAACTCGATTTGAGTGAATCAAGATCATTCTACTGGACAAAAGGATGTTCTATGACTGGAACCCTCAGCAAAGGCTTGGGTCTCATGCAAATGCCTAGATGGGCAAGCCTCTATGCCTCTGGTCAAAGCTCTTTCAAACAAGTGTCTATTGTTTTTCCACCGAGGTGGCTTTCCACATGTGAACACAATGCGCCATTGTGAGGAAGGGTTGGTCAAGAGGCACAGGCAGCTAAACTGAGAAACCATGCCAATTTTACAAAGGTGTCCAACTTGATTGGCAAGCCATGCTGGTAGGATATTGTACGTAAGTATAGAAAAACACCTTCTTTTCTTATGTGGGTGTCTACCCCCCCCCCCCAAATCTTGACTGGGTCCCCACAAGCAGAGTCAGCATGGGCTAAGCCCCGTTGGGAATAGCGACCTGAGAACAAAATACCAGCAAGCTTTCAGGAGATCCTGTGGTCCGATGTCAGGACACGTTCACGATCGGGAATGCTCTCCAAGACTTTGGCAAGCTAAGACACCCTCTGCGCGGAATGGCACCTTTCGGCTTTTGTCTTGCAGTTCCATCCAATCGGACACCCCTTCTGAAAAGGTTCAAGGAGAAGTCAATACCCCTGCAGGACTGCCCAAACATTGACAATCATGCGCTGAGGGTCAACAGCTCGTGCGCTGAGGGGGGTCCAGTGATGCATCTGCATGTTGTTTCCTTCCTCACTCCAGAAATGGTCTTTTGGCAACAAGTTGACAAGCAGGCCATACAAGTCCTTCCGCGCCAAACTCAGAAGCCGAGTGGCGGGAAAGAAAGGGCCCTTCTTCTTTTGGAGGGGTGATTGCACAGGCGAACCCCCTCCCCGAAAAATCGCAAAGGGCACTTGGCCACGAACCCAAGCCCGAAGGAGCTGCGAGGAGGGGTCCTAATTCCTTCACCCCCACAAACGGCACCAGAAATGGCACATACATGCAGTTCCACAAGGTACCACCCCCCCGCAATTCCATTCTTCCCGGGAGGATGTCCCGCGTGTCCAAGCCCAATGCAGTTAAGGCGCATGGCGCGAACTTCACGCTGGCTCACGGCGCATGGTACAAGAACTGTGCCAACGCAGTTCTCTGAGTCGGAGAATTGGTAGCTGAGGTGTTTGGATTGAGGGGTTTGGTTTGTCGCGGGACGAGTTGCCCTTGGTTTTGCAGGCTTGTGCGACTTGAGGAGACTGCAACTAGAGGTGGGATCGGCCACCAGTCTTCGGGCAGGCCTGCCCCAAGTCCTGAAATGCCCAGCAACTGGCAATTTCGTGGAGGGAATGCTAAGTGCAAGGCTGCCGTTTTGTGGGTAAGGCAACCTACATTTGACTGGCCGCACGGACCTGGCTCAAAAAGGTGCGGCTGATGATTCCCGCCAATGCGAAGGGAAGGCATCACTTTGTCCCTTTTGAGCCGGAGAGCCCGCGATCGCAGCTGCCAAACGTGCCACTTTATGTGCCTGCCAACCTTAGACACACAGCAAAGGGCTGCACCAAACACATCTTGAACAATCTCATCAGAACCATCCTTTGGACTCTTCTCTTCATAGTCCATCCTATTCCCCAGGAATAGCACTGGCAATACGATTAGGATCGCGCAACAGTTTGTTTTTGATTGGCTGGCACGCATTCTTCAGCACATCCGGATTATCGGGTTGTTTTGGTTCTGCCTGAAACTGCCTGAAAGTCAAACCCGTTGCGGCCTTTCCCGTTAAGGACTCACTGATTTCCCCACAAACATGTAGCTTTGCAGCTGCAAGCTTGCTAAAACCTCCAGTCAAGCCAAGCATGCTCTGTTGGAGGAAAGATAGGTGCCTGAGACGCACGTTTTCACCTGGGCTGGGGTGCTTTATCTTCACGCTTGCCGGGAGAGATGGCGCAACAAAGCGTAACGGAATTGGAAATCAGTGTTGCGCATTGGTACCGGTCGAAAATGAAGCAAAAAATGAGCTTCACATAAACAATCTGGAGCTGCCTCTCCAACATCCTGCAACGTGAGCCGTGTATTCGCCTCGGCTCCCAGGGCCGGGAAGCGGTCAGATCCCCTCTTTAGATCAGATCTGACACCAGCAACAGCTTTCAGCACGCCAATCAGACCAGTGGCTTTGGGATTTTTATAGGGGCGTCCCTTACAAACGAGCAGCAGCAGCTTGGAGTTGCGACGCACCATCCGAACACAGTTCCCTGCAAATGGCATGGCTTCGTGAAGCGTAAAAAGCGCGCGGCAGGCATACCAAACATCTGTTCGACCTGCTTCGCTAATTGCAGAAAGGGCACGTTTTCCTGAGCCCGCCCAAAATGCACATGTAAGGCCATCATGGCGCGCTAAGGAACGTCCCCTTGGCAGGTGGTGCCACTGGCAAACAGCCTGCCACTGAGTGATCCGTCCTCAGAGCAGTTTTGTTTCAGCTCATGCCCGAGCGCGCGTGAGGAATCTTTCACGGCACCTGAGCAACCTCGCTTGCAAGCGCTGCCTCATCAGTCCGATCACAGTGTTATCTGACCAATCAAGCAGCGCGATCAGTCCGAATCAATCTTGATGAGCCCTATCAGTCTAATCGTCCCATCAGCCCAGTTAATCTGACCATAGCTACACAAGTCCACATCAGCCCAATCAGGCTTGCTGTCCAGTTAGTCCAGTCCGGGCATGAAAGTTGCCTGCTACCTGTCACCTGGAAACAGGCCCAAACTCATCCGCGCGGGTTAAAGCACAGTACAGGAAAGAGCGCGCTGCGCTGGCGATCTTGTCTCGCAAGCGACTGCACGCGGCCAGCAAGGTGCCCCTCCTTCGGCACTGTTCTCATGGGCTGGAGGGCGTTTGCACGATTGCTTTGCTGAGCTCGCTGCTCGCAGGTGCTGGAACCACGGACTCAACCATCGTAAGGCTGTCTCAAACACGGTCTGCTAGCGCGGGGCCAGTGCTCCAACGCGTTCATTTTCGGGTGCCCCTGACAGAACGCTGTTGCTTCCTCTTGGCTCAAAAGTGCATGCTTTTGGGAAGCGGATAGAAAACACAAGGCCGCTGCGTGCGAACTTTGCCTCCTGAGAACCGCAGCCTGTGCTGGTCATTCGCGGCACTGCACCATAACCACGCTGTTCGCCACGCGCCATAGACCGCGCGAACTTGTTTGCTGCCAAGACCTCTCACACGCGGAAGCTCCGCCTCAGACTCTCCAAGTATGCGAATTTGGAGGCATGACGCTTTCGCGGCGCGACCTGCCCAGTCAAAGTGTTTTGCGCGCTCTTCGCAAAAGAAACAGAGCTGCGACGGCCGCGAATCGATGACCGTCTGCGAAACCACTATCATTGGCCGCGCCTGGACCTTCACTCGCTCCTCGTAATTGGCGCGCTTTTGCATACACGCAGACGTGCATCCCAAAGTGAACGAATAAAGCCGGCTTCATGAGAGATACGCGGAGATGTGCTCATCCTGGCACTGATGCTGGGACTCTGCTTGCAGCCTCTAGAGGCGCAGAGTTGTTTCTTGCCATAGGTGAAAGCGTCGCAGCTTGCACCACGCAGAATTGCAAGTCGCAACCTTTTCATGCCCCACAGTCACATGTCAGCATCGCCTGGTCTTTGCAGGACCTGCCACACTTCCACAAACATAGCATCGCTGGGAGGGTACCTGCAAGATCAATTTCCTCTTGGAGAGACCCTAGGTGCAATAGCCAACTCGAGCAATTATTGTTGTACGTTTTGCCACGTCAGAGCGGAATCAGCCTTGCACATGCTTTCTCAATACCCTTGCCCATTCGACCGAGGTTTCAGAACCCAAACTCTGAGCTAGGAGCAATCCAGACAACGACTTGATTTTTGAGGGCCCGGCGTGTACGACAGAAAAAGAGTTGTCGATTCACATACACGTATTTCAAGCTCAACGAATCTTCTTATGGGCATGGCTCCCTTCATAGAAACCCCTTGCTCATCCAAAATCACCAAAGAGATTGATGTGCGTTCCTACCAGTCAATCAACATTTATATTCAGATCTAGGTTACCATGGCATATACCTCCGGCAATTTGGGTGCATAACTCGACTCAGACTCACAGGTGCTGCTGCGGCTCGCTTTTGCTCGAAAATCCCACGCGCGCCAAGCGCGCGATGAAGCGAGTGACATGTGCCATGCTCAGAAAACGGTGCCTGAGTTGATGGGAGGGACGTTAACCTCTGGGATTCTTGGAATTAGGAGGGCTTCTTGGAAGAGATTCCTAGGTTGAAGTTCCTTCTCGGGAGGTTGCCGGATCAATAAACCTTCCTCACCAGTTGTTCTCTGGGAGCCCATGGCCCACTTGGCTTTCGCGCTGTGCTTTTGACCATGGCACACACGGGCGGGGGGGGGGGCCGTCCTTTGGAACCCCGAAGAGCCAGAAAAGCCGCTGCTCGCGCGCCTCGAAACCCTTCGCGGCCGGGCGTGGCCAGGGGCAATGACTCCAAGCCGCAAAAAGTTCGATGCA